AGAACTCAAGTGGATTTTGATGGTTTAATAGGACCATCAGAAAATGATAGAGCGAGCTAGAACGACCAGTACACATACATCAAAGTCACCAAGAATTATAGATTTTCCCAATTCCCATATTTTGTTTGCTTGGTTGATCATTACCACTAGTCTTCCATCACTATTTTTTGCCCTAATTTCCTCCTCTCACCTGTTTCTCCTTCTTACCTGCTGTTATGCCTTCAATCTGATGCTTCCATTTAGGGATGAGCATGGAACCGAACAGGATTTTTTTTTGGCTAAAAATGTTCGGGGCGAACGTGTTCGGTGTTCGCCCGAACACGTTCGGTGTTCGCCCCGCTACTGCTGCCGAGCCGCGTCGAACACGAACACGAATGTGTTCGACGCGACTGTCCCGCGACCTACAATTTACGTTGCGGGACATTCTGTTTGAGCTCAAATTTGAGCTCAAACTTAGTTGCGCTATTCAGCAGCAGCCATTACTACCACGCCCCCCACACACCACGCCGTTATCACCTCATTAGGACATAGCGTAATTAAGTAGTTACCTTAGGTCTAGACTTGGGTATGCGAGATTTAGGTTTTCGGGAAAAGATTAGACAGGGATACCGCAGAATCTCGTAAGTTGAGGGTTGGGGGTAAGCATTCGCAAATTTCATATGCATGGGATTGAGAGGAATAGCGTTCGCATATTTCGTGAGTTGGGGGGTTGTGGGGGGTTGGCGAGCAATCGCAAATTTCGTAGATATAGAACGGGGAGAGCATTTCGCCTTACGTGGGGGGAAATCCAGGTGGCGAGCTGGATAAAAAAAACTATGGATCCGTAACTAGATCTCGCAAAATGCTGATCCAGCCTAGATATTTTCCCCCAGTTTCCCGCAATTCCCCTGCCCGCCGTTGCGTATTTCGAGCGTAACAAAGGATGCCCAGGGGCGAACACGACCGTGTTCGCCCCCAACACGTTCGTGTTCGCCTTAGCATGCAAGATGTTCGCCCTCACAGGCGAACATCGAACACCCTTTTTTTGTAAAAGGTGCTCGGCGAACCGAACAGTGTTCGGTTCGCCGAACGGCAGTGTTCGAGCTGGGGCGAACGCGAACACGTTCGTGTTCGCCCCTTGCTCATCCCTACTTCCATTCCACCCATGATCTTTTGCAGGGACCTCTCAAACAACCAGCTTGAAAGCGTCCCTTCCACTTTGGGTGCACTCAGCGTGATCTCTTACATGTAAGCTGCGTTCATGCAGCTGGCATAATAGCTTTTTGTTTTGTTTTTTTGGTTTTTTGTTTTGTTTTTTTTGTTTTTTCTCGCGGACGCACCATTGATACATAGGGATGAGCACGAGGCGAACACGAACATGTTCGCGTTCGCCTTGGCTCGAACATGGCTGTTCGGCGAACCGAACAATGTTAGGTTCGCCGAACAGGTTTCGCCCAAAGGGGTGTTCGAAGTTCGCCTGGAGAGGCGAACATTTCAAACACTTTGGCGAACACGAACATGTTCGCCAGGAACATGTTCGTGTTCGCCCCAGAGGGCTTTGCATTTCAAAACACTGGTGATCCTAAACCTAACGGTGGAAACCCCTTCAACGGTGGAAACCCTAATGGTGTCCCGCTACTTCAACTTATGAGTTTGGAATAGATGCAGCGTTCTGTTATTAAGCATCGAAATCAACTCGCCTAGACGCAATAGTTTAAGCATTTTAGCCAATAGGCTAGTACTAGTAAGTGTAGGTGTGGCAGGTGGTAGTGGGCTGCGCGGGCTGGTGGCAGCGACATGGTCGCGGAGCTCTAAAAAATGAGCCACAAATGAATTGGCCGCGACCCTAAATTAGGTCGCGGCCAATTCGTCGACGAACACCTGAGGTGTTCGTCGATGTACCGAGTTGAACACGAACATGTTCGTGTTCGACGCGGCTCGGCATATCGCGGCCGGCGAACACCGAACATGTTCGCACGAACAGCGAACATGTTCGACCCGAACATTTTTGGGCAAAAAAAAATCCCGTTCGGTTCGTCTCGAACATGTTCGAGACGAACCGAACGGGTGTTCGGATTTATGCTCATGCCTATTGATACACACCAAGCATTTAACTTGTATTCGTGTACCTACATGTGAAATGCCATTGGGATTCTCCCTTTTACATGTAACATGCAATTGGGCGTTGTCAATTTCATCATCCTCTGGCCTCCGACTCACCATCGCCAGTGCTTCCCAATGCCCGATCGGATGAACCCCCAACCACCAGGTCCCTCTCTTACAACAAGCTCTCTGGACCTATCCCTGACACCATCGGCTCCCTCACCAGCCTTACAAATCTGTACGCCACACTTTGCCTTTTTTCCTGATGCACATGGATCAGAAATTCTAATTGGGGACCACTTAACACTAAGGTCATGAAACCGAAACCGAAACCTGGATTGCTTCGGTCGCCATTACAGGAAAATCTCGTTTCGGCTAACGTGGTTACTAGCTTTGGTTGTGCTACTTCGGGTGCAACCGCGTCCGAACCACTACGCCCTGATTCCCTCCCATCCCATTCACTGTCGTTGTTTTCCGCCCTTCCATGCTGCTGCAGGGGCCTTCATTCCAACAAACTCTCGGGCGCCATCCCTCCCTCCATTTCCTTGCTGCAAAATATCAATGCACTGTGGGTGCCGCGCTGCCACTGCCAGTCCGTCACTGCTGCTGCTGTACCTTTCTACCACTGCTGCTGCTCCACCCTCCACTGTTTAATCTGAACAGCTTCAACTTACATTTTTGAATTATTTTTCACCGCTACTTTCCTACTCTCTGCTGTCCTTGATCCAATCCACTGTCTCTGCTGTTCCCCCAGCGACCTGAGCTCCAACCAACTGTCTGGTCCCATTCCCAAGGAGATTGGTTCCATGGTCGCCCTCACCAGACTGTAAGTCACTCCCCTCCACTTCACCTCATGGCATCCTTTCCCTTGCCATCTGTGCCTGCCTTTCCTCGTTTGTTCGTCCTCGTGCTCAAGCCTAAGCTAGCATACGCAGACTTAAATGAAATCGTTTGGCGGAACTCTTTGGTTTTTCATTTCCTTCACTCCCAAACGACCACCAGGTATAGCCACAGCACCCTGGACAGCCAATCCACCATCCTTATACCCTTCGACTATAATAAAGGCTGCCTACAGGCGAGCACGAACATGATCGCCCCGAGCATGTTCGTGGTCGAGGCGAACTCCTTGGAGTTCGTCTTTATTAACAAACACCGAACACCTCCATCAGTGGTTTGAGTTCAACCGAACACAAACATGTTCAATTAGCCAAACACGAATGTTCGAGGCAATGCGAACACGAACACCCGATTCTTGTCCCCTTTTTGCTCATCCCTAAGGTTTATGCACACCCGATTCTTGTCCGATGCATCCCCGGAGTCTCACTCACTCGTGCTCGCCTCACTTCCTCTCCTTCCGTTCTTCTACCCTGCACGCCTTTCTCGCAGTGATCTTTCGGACAACCAGCTTTTGGGCAACATCCCTGCAACCTTTGGAGCACTCTTTCAAATCGAATTCCTGTGAGCTGCACACAACACCATGTCACAGCCGAGAAATGATTGTGCGAACCTGTGTCACAGTGAAGGCAGGTAGGAGCCATGGGAGGTTCAAGTGGGATTAAGATTCAAAGTGCCGGTGATGTCCTAACCAAAGGCTAGGGCATGTTCAGTATCGGATATGAAGAAGAATATGAACCCAGACAGAGACAAAAAATGTATTAGGTAGGCATCGCGAATGAGAATGCGAGCATTAACCAACTGCACACCCAGCAAGTTCACATTCACAATTTAATCTCCCACTTGTTTGTTTGCTCCTTGTTGTTTGTTCAATACTATCTGTCTTCCATAGTATTTTTTCCTGATTTGTCCCTCTCGCCTGTTTCTCCTTCTCACCTGCTGTTATGCCTTCCATTCCACCCATGATCTTTTGCAGGGACCTCTCAAACAACCAGCTTGTAGACGTCCCTTCCACTTTGGGTTCACTCAGCGTGATGTCTTACATGTAATCTAGATGCATGCAGGTGGAATTCTAGTGGCATTATTAAACCGGACATACAAAACATTTAGCTTTTATTTGTGTGTACCAACTGTCAATCCCATTCATGAATCATGCAGCTGCGATTTGAGACCCCCGCTCCCCCCCACCCCTCTTTTTTATATGTCTTCTCGCTTCTCCCCTTGCCTTTTCACCATAATTTTGCCTCCAACTCACCATCGCCAATGCCCGATCGGATGAACCCCCAACCACCAGGTCCCTCTCTTACAACAAGCTCTCTGGACCCATCCCTGACACCATCGGCTCCCTCACCAGCCTTACAAATCTGTACGCCACACTTTGCTTTTTTCCTGATGCCCATGGATTAGAAATTAAAACTGGGGACCACTTAATCCCATTTACTTTCACTACTCCCCTTGGCGTTGCTTTTTTGCCGCATTTCCATGCTGCTGCAGGGGCCTTCATTCCAACAAACTCTCGGGCGCCATCCCTCCCTCCATTGCCTTGCTGCAAAAGATCAATGCACTGTGGGTGCCGCGCTGCCACTGCCAGTCCGTCACTGCTGCTGCTGCGCCTCTCTACCACTGCTGCTACTCCACCCTCCACACTGAGCCAGCCCGATGCTCTGTTTAAACTCAACAGCTTCAGCCTTCATTTGTAAGCCATTTTGAATTTCACTGTTACTTTCTTACCCTCTGCTGTCCATGATCCAATCCCCTGTCTTTGTTGTTCCCCCAGCGACCTGAGCTCCAACCAACTGTCTGGTCCCATTCCCAAGGAGATTGGTTCCATGGTCGCCCTCACCAAACTGTCAGTCTCTTCCTTCCGCCGCACCTCGTTGCATCCTTCCCCTTGTGATCCCTGCCTGCCTCTCTTCGAATATGCACACCCGATTCTTGCCCCATGCATCCTCCGAGCCTCACTCACTCGTGTTCGCCTCACTTCTCCTTTTGTTATTCCTCTGCCCTGCATGCCTCTCTCCCAGTAATCTTTCAGACAACCAGCTTTCGGGCAACATCCCTACAACCTTTGGAGCACTTATCCAAATGGAATTTCTGTGAGCTGCACACAAGACCCTCACAGATGAGAATTGAGCGTGCGAAACTGTGCTTAAGTGAAGGAAATTAGGAGCCATGGAATGTTGGCGGCGAAAGAATTTTGTTGTCAAGTGGGAATGAGATTCTAGGTGCATGCTCAGTATAGGATTAAAAACTAATGCCCAAACGGAATTCGGGTACAAATATGGCCAAAAAGTGAAATAGGGCCACCACAAATGATAAAGCGTGCACTAATCAACTACAATGAACACTCACATATATTGAACACACCATTAATTTGTTCACTTATCCCACTTCCCATTTGCTGTTCGGTCCTTGTTGTTTGTTCATTACTACTAGACTTCCATTGTGATTTTTGCCCTGATTTCTACCTCTCACCTGTTTCTCCTTCTCACCTGCTGTTATGCCTTCAATTTGATACTTCCATTCTACCCATGATCATTTGCAGGGACCTCTCAAACAACCAGCTTGAAGACGTCCCTTCCACTTTGGGTGCACTCAGCGTGATGTCTTACATGTGAGTCATATGCATGCAGCTGGGATTGTAGTGGCATTATTATGCCGAAAAGTAGGATAGAGTACCATGGCAAACATGTTTTTTTTCATGACATGACATGACATGACATGACATGGCACAAATCATTCAGTTTATATTCGTGTACCATCTGTGAGTTCCATACACGTACCATTCAATAGGAATCATTAAGTTTTTTGTTTTGTTTTTTTCTTATTTACTTGTTTTTCTCATCATCTTCTGCCTCCGACTCATCATCGCCAGTGCTTCCCAATGCCCGATGGAATGAACCCCCAACCACCAGGTCCCTCTCTTACAACGAGCTCTCTGGACCCATCCCTGACACCATCGGCTCCCTCACCAGCCTTACAAATCTGTACGCCACACTTTGCCTTTCCCAATTCCCATGGATCAGATATTCTGATTGGGGACCACCTAGCAGTGCTTCCCTCCAATCCCATTTTCTGGCACTATTCGCATCGGTTTATCGCCCTCCCATGCTGCTGCAGGGGGCTTTGTTCCAACAAACTCTCGGGCGCAATCCCTCCCTCCATTGCCTTGCTGCAAAAAATCAATGACCTGTGAGTGCCACGCTGCCAGTGCCAGTCTGTCACTGCTGCTGCTGTGCTTCTCTCCACCACTGCTGCTACACCACCCTCCACACCCAGCCAGCCCGATGCTCTACACACCCAACAGTTATTATTGAATCATTTTTAATATATCTAGCTGCTTCTTACTCTCTGTTTTCCATGATCCAATCCACTGTCTCTGCTGTTCCCCCAGCGACCTGAGCTCCAACCAACTGTCTGGTCCCATTCCCAAGGAAATCGGTTCCATGGTAGTCCTTACCAAACTGTCAGTGACTGCCCTCCACCACACCTCGTTTCATCCTTGCCCTTGCCATATCTGCCTGCCTTTCTTCGTTTATGCATACTCGATTGTTGTCCCATGCATCCTCGGAGTCTCACTCACTCGTGCTCGCCTCACTTCCTCTCCTTTCATTCTTCCTCTGGCCTGCACGCCTTTCTGCCAGTGATCTTTCGGACAACCAGCTTTCAGGCAACATCCCTGCAACCTTTGGAGCACTCATCCAAATGAAGTTCCTGTGAGCTGCACACAACACCCTGTCACAGCCGAGAATTGATCATGCGAAACTGGATTAAGAGTGCTGGTGAAAACGTAACCGGAGGCTAGGGCATGTTCTACGAGCGACATGGACAAGAAAGTGAAGCCGCCAAAAACAACACCCACCCAGCTCACATAGGGGTGAGCAAAATCACGAACGCCTGTTCGGTTCGCCTCGAACACGTTCGAGGCAAACCGAACAGGTTTTTTTTTTTGCCTTAAGTGTTCGGGGCGAACATGTTCGATGTTCGCCCGAACATGTTCGTGTTCGGGGCGCTGCTGCAATTTGCCCCGCGTCGAACACGAACGTGTTCAAGGTTCGACCAAACACGCCTTCACAGGCGAACACCGAACACCCTTTTTGGCTAAAAGTGTTCGCCGAACCGAACAGTGTTCGGTTCGGCGAACGGCTGTGTTCGTGCAGGGGCGAACACAAACACGTTCGTGTTCGCCCCTTGCTCACCCCTAAGCTCACATACGCTCAAACACTAAGAATTTTTTTGTTTTCCCACTTGGCGCAATTTGTTCGCTCCTGGGTGCTCAAACATTAAGAGGTTTTTTGTTTTCCCATCGTGCTTTCTTGCCAGTTTATCCCTCTCACCTTTTCTCCTTCTCACCTGCTGTTGTGCCTTCAATATCTCTCTCTCTCTCTCTCTCTCTCTCTCTCTCTCTCTCTGTCTGTCTCTCTCTCTCTCTCTCTCTATCTCTCTCTCTCTCTCTCTCTCTCTCTCTCTCTCTCTCTCTCTCTCTCTCTCTCTCTCTCTCTCTCTCTCCTGTTTGTCCTTCTCAACTGCGGCTTTGGCTTCAAATGGTTATCTTTTGCAGGGACCTCTCAAACAACCAGCTTGAAGACGTCCCTTCCACATTGGGTGCACTCAGCGTGATGTCTTACATGTGAGCTACATCCATGCAGCTGGAATTGTAGTGGCCTCTTCAAGCCGGACGCACCATTTTGATATGATACACACCAAACTTTTAGTTTATATAATGTATGTATAGTTTAGCATATGTGTGTCCCATATATGCAACATGTGATTGCTTCCCAATGCCCAATCGGATGAACCCCCAACGACCAGGTCCCTCTCTTACAACAAGCTCTCTGGACCCATCCCTGACACCATCGGCTCCCTCACCAGCCTTACAAATCTGTACGGCACACTTTGTTTTTTCGTGATCCCCGTGGATCAGAAATTCGTATTGGTGACCACTTAACACTGCTTCTCTCCCAACCCATTTACTGACACTACTCCCCTTGGCTTTGTTTTGCCACCCTCCCACGCTCCTGCAGGGGCCTTTGTTCCAACAAACTTTCGGGCGCCATCCCTCCCTCCATTGCCTCGCTGAAAAATATCAATGAGCTGTGGGTGCCACACTGCCACCGCCAGTCCGTCATTGCTGCTGCTGTCCCTACACACACTCAGCCAGCCCAATGCTCTGTTTTATCCCAACAGCATAATTTTTCATCCTTGAATCATTTTGAATTTCACTGTTACTCTCTACTGTCCATGATCCAATCCACTGTCTCTGCTGTTCCCCCAGCGACCTGAGCTCCAACCAACTGTCCGGTCCCATCCCCAAGGAGATTGGTTCCATGGTCGCCCTCACCAAACTGTCAGTCACCCCCCTCCACTCCACCATACCCCGTTGCATCCGTTCAACTGCCATCCCTGCCAGCCTTTCATCGTTCATGCACACCTGATTTTTTGTCTCATACATCCTCGAATTCTCACTCACTCATGCTCTCCTCGCTTCCTCTCCTTCATTTCTTCTTCTTCTTCCGTGCATGCCTTTCTCCCAGTGATCTTTGGGACAACCAGCTTTCGGGCAACATCCATGCAACCTCACCCCATGCAGTCTTGGAGTCTCACTCAATTGTGCCGGCAACACTTCCTCTCCTTCCGTTTTTCCTCTGCCCTACACTTCTTTCTCCCAGTGATCTTTCGGACAACCAGCTTTCGGGCAACATCCCTGCAACATTTGGATCACTCATCCAAATGAAATTCCTGTGAGCTGCACACAACACCCTGTCACAGCTGAAAATCAAATGTGCGATCCTGTGTCCAAGTGAAGGCAGTTAGTAGCCATGGAAGGTTGGCTTGGCGGAAGAAGTTTGTTGTCATCTGGGTTAAAAATTCAAAAGACAGGTGATGCTCTAACTGAAGGCTAGGGCATGTTTATTATAGGATATGAAGTACAAAAGGAGCCTATGTAGAATTTGGGTACAAAGGGGTCTAATAGTGTCCTAGGGCCATCACAAATGTCCAAGTGAGTAATCAACTACATCAACTACAGTAATCAACTCAGTACACAGACATCAAGTCAAACACTCCAAGGTTTTTTGTTTGTTTGTTTGTTTGTTTATTTGTTCTTTTTTTCTCTTTGTTTGTTTATAATTACTAGTCTTCCATAGTGGGTTTTCCCGCATTTCTCCCTGTCACCTGTTTCTCCTCACCTGCTGTTATACCTTCAATCCGATGCTTCCATTCCACCCATGATCTTTTGCAGAGACCTTTCAAACAACCAGCTTGAAGACGTCCCTTCCACTTTGGGTGCACTCGTCGTGATGTCTTACATGTAAGCTACATGCATGCAGCTGGAATTGTAGCGGCATTATTAATCTGGACACACTGTTGTTACACACCAAGCATTAAGCTCGTATTCGTGTACCTATTGTGAGTTTCGTACATGTAACTTTCGATTTGGCTCTCCATTATTATCGTTCTTCTAACTTCTCCCCTCGACTCACCATCCTTTTGCCTTCGACTCACCATCGCCAGTGCCTCCCAATGCCCGATCGGATGAACCCCCAACCACCAGGTCCCTCTCTTACAACAAGCTCTCTGGACCCATCCCTGACACTATCGGCTCCCTCACCAGCCTTACAAAGCTGTACGCCACACTTGGTTGTTTTCCTGATGCCCATGGGTCCGAAATTCAAGCTGGGGACCACTTAATCCCATTTACTTTCACTACTTCCCTGAGCTTTGTTTTTTTGCTGCACTTCCATGCTGCTGCAGGGGTCTTCATTCCAACAAACTCTCGGGCGCCATCCCTCCCTCCATTGCCTTGCTGCAAAGAATCAATGCACTGTGGGTGCCCTTGCCACTGCCAGTCCGTCACTGCTGTTGCTGCGCCTCTCTACCACTGCTGCTACTCCACTCTCCACGCCTAGGGTTGAGCAAAAAAACGAACACCTGTTCGGTTCGCCTCGAATGTGTTCGAGGCGAACCGAACAGGTTTGTTTTTTTTGCTTAAAGTGTTCGCCAAACAGTGTTCAAGGTTCGCCCGAACACGTTCGTGTTCGGGCCGCTGCTGCAATTCGCCCCGCGACGAACACGAACGTGTTCGAGGTTCGCCCGAACACGCCTTCACAGGCGAACGGCGAACACCTGTTTTTGCTAAAAGTGTTCGCCGAACCGAACAGTGTTCGGTTCGGCAAACGGCTGTGTTCGTGTAGGGGCGAACACGAACATGTTCGTGTTCGCTCCTTGCTCACCCCTATCCACGCCCAGCTTGTCCGATCCTCTGTTCAATGCTCACAGGCTCAACTTTCATGTTTGAATCATTTTGAATTATACATGGGCGTCAAGCCTAGTGTTTTTACCCGACTCGTTCAAAATACTCGGTGGGGGCCGAGTAACGAGCATGTTTTTTCTGGAATGTTTTTTCACATGTGGGGGCCGAAGTAACGAGCATTTTTTTTCACAACCCCCCTCCCTCCCCCGCTAGTCTACTCCGGCATTCCCTACTTAGCTAGCTGGACGCGTCCATGGTAACTTAGAAATCTGTTTGTTTGTCGACGTGGACTGTGAGGGGTGTTGCGGGCTTACGTCGATAAGTAAATCCTTGTGCTTGCGAGTGACAAGTCGCGCATTTTTGGTGCTCGGACGTGTTTTCCCCTAAACTTGTCCGAGCATGCCCAAAAACAACGAGTCACGAGTATGCAAAAAGCTGAAAATTGCTCGTCAGAATTTTGCTCGACTCGGGGCAAAAGCTCGTCGAGCAAGACCATGGACGAGTCGAGTTTTGCTCGACTCGTCACTTTGACCATGTATGTCTTGAATTTCACTGTGACTCTCTCACTCTCTGTCTGTCTATGATCCAATTCCACTGTCTCTGCTGTTCCCCCAGCGACCTGAGCTCCAACCAACTGTCTGGTCCCATCCCCAAGGAGATTGGTTCCATGGTCGCCCTCACCAAACTGTTAGACACTCCCCTTCACCTCGTTGCATCCTTTCCTTTGCCATCCCTACCTGCCTCTCGTTTATGCACACTCAATTCTTGACCCATGCATCCTCGGATCCTCATTCATTCGTGCTCGCCACACTTCCTCTCCTCCCGTCTTTCCTCTTCCTTGCACATTTTTCTCCCAGTGATATTTCAGACAACCAGCTTTCAGGCAACATCCCTGCAACCTTTGGATCACTCATCCAAATGAAATTCCTGTGAGCTGCACACAACACTCTGTCACAGCCGAGAATTCATTGTGCAAACCTGTGTCAAAGTGAAATCAGTTTGTATTCACGGAATGTTGGCAGGGAAAGAAGTTTGTTGTCAAGTGGGATTAAGATTCTGTTGATTCCCTAACTGAAGTGAAGGCTAAGGCTTGCTAAGTAAAGGATAAGAACAGGAAAATAAACCCAAGCAGATTATGGATCCAAAGTTGTCAAGAAAATGTATTAGGGCCATCCACAAATGATAAAGCACACTACCACAAGACCCACACAGAATGCAGACATCAAATCAAACACACCAAGACTTTTTGTTCTCCCACTTACCAGTTCATGTTCGGCCATTGTTATTTGTTCTTTACTACTAATATTCCATCGTGCTTTTTGTTAAGGGAAGAGCTTGGCAACCATGGATATCGAGAAGGTAAGAAGTTATATTTGAGATATATTTGAGGAAGAAAGCTGAAAACTCTAATTGAACTTAGGTGTGTCCAGTCCAGTTCTGGCCAAAAGGTATGGAATGAACCTAATCTGAACGCTATATTGTAACTCCCTCTAAACATGGCAAAATAACAAGATAACACCACTATAAATGTCTGAGTGAGTTCTCGCCTACTCCAGCACACCCCCAGGCTAGGTGAAGCTCCCCCTGAAGTGGAGACCCCCTGAAGGAACAGACTCCTAATCCAGAACGGTTAACCTAGCAATTTGGAACACATCCTGAAGTGAAGAGACAAGTGACTCTAAGCGCGCGCAAGTAGGAACGGTGTGGCTCATGAAGGAGGGCCTTCATGAAGATGTCAGCAAGGTTGGCATCGGATGCCACCTTCTAAAGACGGAGGAAGCCAAACTCAGTGTGCTTGCTGCGACTGTGACAAGATTCTCAATGAGATGAATAATGCTCGCACTGTCGCAGGCAAGCGACACAGAGAACTGAGAATGGCCCAACCCAACTCCTCAAGGAGATGAGAGAGTAAACATAGTAGGAACCGTTGTAACCCGAAAGAACAGGGGGGGCAGAGCCACCACGAGTGAGAGTGAGATCACGAAGAGGGGGGGGGGGGGGGGGGTAGCGCGAATATAACGGAGAACGCGGTGCGCGGCCCCCCAGTGCAATTCGGTGCATAACGACCTAAGCCAACAAAGCGGGACAGGACAATGAGGGGGGTAACCAAGGTCGGGGCGAGTGCACACCATTGCATATATGAGCGATCAACGAGCTCAGGATAGGGGAGGGAGCATGGATCTCAGGGGCAGTGAGCTGATGGTTAGCCAGAAACGGAGTGGAAACTGGCTTGGCCTGGGACATCTTAAACAGCTGGAGGATGGACTGGGTGTAGGAGAATAGCGCAGAGGTCGGAGAGAGTGCGCAGGTGGGCTGGTGTGAGAGCGCGCAACTAAGTAGGGCGTGCAGTTGAAACGGGGTGTGTGGTGGGAGCATGACCCGCAACCAGAGGAGGTCGCGCGGTGGAATTAGGGCGCACGGGGAAGGAGAAGGTGGGCCCGCATGACGAGGGGAGAACGAGCGCGTTCGACATGGGGAGGAGGGACGTGCGTCACAGGAGGGGGGGGAGGGCGCGGAATGGACTGAGAAAGGGGCCGCGATGGCCTGCTAAGGGCACAAGAGAGGCGTTCGCTGAGGGCACAAGTAGGTGGAGGCGCTCGACTGCCTAGGAAGGCACAAGTAGGTGAACAGGAAAGTGTAAGGGAGTTGCGTGACTGCCTAGGAAGTCGTGCAAAAGTTTGCTAAGGACCCGCGAGGAGACAGGATGGGAAAAAAAGAAGGTAACGAGAGGCGCGCGAATAGCTGGAGAGACTAGCGCGACGAGCCTTAGAGGAGACTAGGTTTGGCTAGGAGATGTGGATTAGGCCAGGTGGGAATTGCTTACGATTTTGCTCTGATGCCATGCCATGTTAAAGAAAGCTTGGCAGCCATGGATATCGAGATGGTAAGAGGTTGTATTGAGAAAAAGTGTCAAGATGCATTTGAGGAAGAAAGTTGGAAATCACTCATTGTTACTAAGGTGTGTTCATTTTAGGCTACAGGCTATGAAGTGTACCTAAACTGATCCTGAAGTGTTACTCGCTCTACACATGGGAAAATTACAAGATTACACCATGATAAATACCAGAGCGAGATCTAGCCTATTCCAACCCGTTTTGCCCTTACTTCTCCCTCTAACCTGTTTCTCCTTGTCACATGCTGTTATGCCTTCAGTCTGATGCTTCTATTCTACCCATGAACTTTTGCAGCGACCTCTCAAACAACCAGCTTGAAGACGTCCCTTCCACTTTGGGTGCACTTAGCATGATGTCTTACATGTGAGCTACTTGCATGCAGCTGGAATTGCAGCGGTATTCTTACATCAATACACACCAAACATTTAGCTTGTATTCGTGTACCAACTGCACGCACCATCAATACACACCAAACATTTAGCTTGTATTCATACAAGTAACCGTCGATTTGAGTCACCAAACATTTAGCTTGTACCAACTGTGAGTTTCATACATGTAACCGTCGATTTGAGTCACCATTTTTTTCTCCCTTCTCCCCTCGCCTATTTCACCATCATTTTGCCTCCGACTCACCATCGCCAGTGCTTCTCAATGCCCGATCGGATGAACCCCCAACCACCAGATCTCTCTCTTACAACAATCTCTCTGGACCCATCCCTGACACCATCGGCTCCCTCATCAGCCTTGCAAATCTGTACGCCACACTTTGTTTTTTCCTGATTCCGAAACTGTAATTGGGGGCCCCTTAACAATTAATCCTTCCCATCTCGTTTTCTTGCACTACTCCCCTTGGCATTGTTTTGCTGCCCTCTCATGCTGCTGCAGAGGGCTTCGTTCCAACAAACTCTCGGGCTCCATCCCTCCCTCCATTGCCTTGCTGAAAAACATCAATGCACTGTGAGTGCCGCGCTGACATTGCCAGTCCATCACTGCTGCTGCTGTGCCTCTCTACCACTGCTGCTACTCCACCCCTGTGCTGCAAAAGACCCGTCTTGCGTCTAGGACGCTTGCGTCCAGACGCAGCGTCTTAGACGCAGGACACTTCTTTGGGCCCTGTGAGACGCTGAAAAAGACGCATGCCCGGGCAGGGCAAAAAAACGACCGGGCAGCCAAAAAAACATGCTATAGGGCATGGGAAGGATGGGGGGAGAATGACGTACCACACATTTGAGGCAAAATTTTCCCCATCCAACATATTTTCCCCCATAAACAGTTTTCCTAAGAGTCACACATGGTCTAGGGTTTTTGAAGGAGAATTGAAGGAGCTAAACTCTCTAGGGTTTTTGAAGGAGAATTGAAGGAGCTAAACCCAGTAGGGTTTTTGAAGGACTAGGGTTTTTGAAGGAGAATTAAGTGAAATTGAGATATGGAGGCAAATGAAGTGTTTGTGCTCCTACAAGTACTTGGTGGTGGACCACAATGGTTGGGGGGGTTTTCAAACTTGGTTGGGGGGCAGTTTTTCAAGGTCGAAATGTGTGTTGGGAAGGTCGAAATTTCACGAAATTGACATTCGCGACGAAAGCGCGAGTGTCAGTTTCGCGCTGGGGATTTTTTTTTTCTGGTCAGCTCGAAGAAAAAACGGCGTGCGTCCTGCGTCTGGACGCACGTCCTGCGTCCCTGCGTCTGGACGTCCAGACGCAGGACGCAAGACACGCCCAGCGTCTTTTGCAACATAGCTCCACCCCCTCCACACCCAGCCAGCCCGATGCACTGCTGAAATTCAACAGCTTCAACTTTCACTTTTGGATAATTTTAAGAATTTCCCACTACTTTCTCACTCTCTGCTGTCCGTGATCCAATCCACTGTCTCTGCTGTTCCCCCAGCGACCTGAGCTCCAACCAACTGTCTGGTCCCATCCCCAAGGAGATTGGTTCCATGGTCGCCCTCTCCAAACTGTCAGTGACTTCCCTCCACCACTCCTCGTTGCATCCTTTCCCTTGCCATCCCCACCTGCCTTTCCTCGCTAATGCATGCCTGATTCTTGTCCCATGCATTCTTGGAGTCTCACTCACTTGTGCTTGCAACACTTCCTCTCCCTCCGTTTTTCCTCTGCCCTGCACTCCTTTCTCCCAGTGATCTTTCGGACAACCATCTTTCGGGCAACATCCCTGCAACATTTGGATCACTCATCCAAATGAAATTCCTGTGAGCTGCACTCAACACCCTCTCACAGCCGAGAATTGATTGTTCGAAGCTGTGTCAAAGTGAAGGCAGTTAGGAGCCATGGAAGGTTGGCTTGGCGGCAAAAAAACATTTTTGTCAAGTGGGATACAAAGTGTATGTGAGACCCCAACCAAAGGATAGGGCAAATGAACAAGAAATTTATCGCACATGGAATCCGGGTGAAAGATGTCCACAAAGTGTAAATGGGCATCACAAACGATAATGCGAGAATTTAGTGTAAACGCACCAAAATACAACACCCGCCTAGTACATAGAGATCAAATCAAACGCACCAAGAATTCTTACTTCCGCACTTCTAATTTGTTGTTGGCTGTTTGTTTGTTCATTATCACTAGTCTTCCATATTGCATTTTGTCCAGATTTCTCCCTCACCTGTTTCTCCTTCTCGCTTGCTGTTATGCCTTCAATCTGATACTTCCATTCCATCCATGAATTTTTGCAGGGACCTCTCAAACAATCAGCTTGAAGACGTCCCTTCCACTTTGGGTGCACTCAGCATATTGTCTTACATGTGAGCTACATGCATGCAGCTGAAATTTTGGCAGCATTGTTGAACCGGACATATCTTTGATACACACCAAACATTTAGCTCGTATTTGTGAATCAACAGTGAGTCCAGTACATGTATTATGCAATTAGAGTCGTTTTTGTTTTTCTTTCTCTCGTTGTTGTTGCTTCTCCCTTTGCCTATTTCACATTCCGTTGCACCCCGACTCACCATCGCCTGTGCTTCTCAAATCCTGATCGGATGAACCCCCAACCACCAGGTCCCTCTCTTACAACAAGCTCTCTGGACCCATCCCTGACACCATCGGATCCCTCACTAGCCTAACAAATCTGTACGCCACACTTTGCTTTCTCTTGATGATGCCCATGGGTGAGATATTGTAACAAATTGCGGATCGGTCGGGTCAACCTAAATAATATGGACGGGATGTTGGTTTTTGCGAATTGTGATTACTGAATGGACGAAGTCATTTTATTGGTCAGCGCAAGGGACCTTTGTAGGATTGATCAACTTCGGCTGCGGGCTTTAACACTCCCATTGCTAGCACTACTCCCCTTGGCGTTGTTTTGCTGCCCTCCCATGCTGCTGCAGGGGCCTTCATTCCAACAAACTCTCGGGCGCCATCCCTCCCTCCATTGCCTTGCTGCAAAATATCAATGACCTGTGGGTGCCGCGCTGCCACTGCCAGTCCGTCACTGCTGCTGCTGTGCCTCTCTACCACTGCTGCTACTCCACCCTCCACACCCAGCCAGCAAGACGTTCTGTTTAGTCTTAACAGCTTCAACAATGATTTTCGCACCATTTTGGCTTCCACGGTTGCTTCCTTATTCTGTGCTGTTCATTCATCCAATCCACTGTCTCTGCTGTTCCTCCAGCGACCTGAGCTCCAACCAACTGTCTGGTCCCATCCCCAAGGAGATTGGTTCCATGGTCGCCCTCACCAAACTGTCAGTCACTCCCCTCCACTCCACCACACCCCGTTGCGTCCTTTCCCTTGCCATCCCTGCCTGCCTTTCCTCGTTCATGCACACCAGTTCTTGTCCCATGCGTCCTCTGAGTCTCACTCACTCGTGCTCGACCCACGTCTCCTCCTATTGTCCTTCCTCTGCCATGCACGCCTTTTTTTCCAGTGACCTTTCGGACAACCAGCTTTCAGGCAACATTCCCACAACATTTGGAGAACTAATGCAAATGGAATTCCTGTGAGCTGCACACAACACCCTGTCACAGCCGGAAATTTATTGTGCGAACCTGTGTCAAAGTGAAGGCAGGTAGGAGCCTTGGAAGGTTGGCTTGGTGGCGAATCTTTTTTTTTGTCAAGTGGGATTAAGATTCAAGCTGCTGGTGACTCTGTAACTAAAGGATAGGGCATGTTCAGTATAAGTTTGTAGGATATGAACAGGAAAATGAACCTGAACAAAAGTTGGGTCCATAGTCGGCTACTTTTGTAATAGGCCATCAGAAATGATAGCGCAAGCTTTAACCAGCTACAACACCCACCCAGTACATAGACATATAACTTGTTGCTCGTTGTTGTTTGTTCATTACTACTAGTCTTTTCGCCCTTATTTTTCCCTTTGACCTGTTTCTCCTTCTCACCTGCTGTTATGCCTTGAATTTGATGCTTCCCCATGATCTTTTGCAGGGACCTCTCAAACAACCAGCTTGAAGACCTCCCTTCCATTTTGGGTGCACTCAGCGTGATGACTTACCTGTGAGCTACATGCACGCAGCTTTAATTGAAGCCGCATTATTGAACCGCGCGCACCATTGAATCACGCCTAGCATTTACCTTGTATTCGTGTTCCTGATGTGCATGGATCAGAAATTATGGATGGGGACCACTTAGCACTGATCCTTTCCCATCCCATTTACTCTCACTACTCCCCTTGGTGTTGTTTTGCCGCCCTCCAATGCTGCTGCAGGGGGCTTCGTTCCAACAAACTCTCGGGCGCCATCCCTCCCTCCATTGCCTCGCTGCAATATATCAATGACCTGTGGGTGCCGCGCTGCCTCTGCCAGTGTGTCACTGCTGCTGCTGTGCCTCTCTACCACTGCTGCTTCTACACCTTCCACATCCAGCCAGCCCGATGCTCTGTTCAATCTCACCAGCTTCAACTTTCATTTTTGAATCACTTTGAATCTTACTGTTACTTTCTTACTCTCTGCTGTCCATGATCCAATCTACCGTCTCTGCTGTTCCCCCAGCGACCTGAGCTCCAACCAACTGTCCGGTCCCATCCCCAAGGAGATTGGTTCCATGGTCGCCCTCACCAAACTGTCAGTCACTCCTCTCCACCCACCTCGTTGCATCCTTTCCATTGCCATCCCTGCCTGCCTTTCCTCGTTTATGCACACCCGATTCTTGTCCCATGCGTCTTCGGAGCCTCACTTCCTCTCCTTCCGTGCTTCCTCTGCTCTGCTCGCCTCTCAGCGATCTTTCGGACAACCAGCTTTCGGGCAACATCCCTGCAGCCTTTGGAGCACTCATCAAGATGGAATTCCTGTGAGCTGCATTGCACACACCATCCTGTCACAGGTGAGAATTGATTGTGCGAACCTGTGTCAAAGTGAAGGTTGGCCGCGAAAGATTGCTGTCAAGCAGGATTTGGATTCAAAGTGCTGGTGATACCCTAACCAGAGGCAAGGGAATGTTCGGTATAGGATATAAAACATGATAACGAACCCAAATGATAGAGGGAGCATTCACTAGAACAACCACCCAGTAAACACACATCAAGTCAAACACACACATAATATATATATATATATATGTATATATCCCAATTCCCACTTCTTGTTTGCTTCTTGTTCTTTGTTCTCTTCCATTGTGTTTTTTTTCCCTGATACCTGTTTCTCCTTCTCACTTGCTGTTATGCCTTCAATCTGATGCTTCCATTCCACTCATGATCTTTTGCAGGGACCTCTCAAACAACCAGCTTGAAGACGTCCCTTCCATTTTGGGTGCACTCAGCGTGATGACTTACTTGTGAGCTACATGCATGCAGCTGGAAATGTAGCGGCATTATTGAACCGGAGGCACCATTCATACGCACAAAGCATGTAGCTTGAATCATGTAACAACTGTGAGTTCCATACATGTGACAGTCGATTTTATTCTCCATTTTTTTTAGTTCTCGCTTCACCCCTCGCCTAGGTCACCATCCTTTTGCCTCCGACTCACCATTGCCACTGCTTCCCCCTAATGCCCGATCCAATAAACCCCCAACCACCAGGTCTCTCTCTTACAACGAGCTCTCTGGACCCATCCCTGACACCATCGGCTCCCTCACCAGCCTTGCAAATTTGTATGGCACACTTTGTTTTTTCCTGATGCCCATGGATCAGAAATTTTAATTGGGGACCACTTAATACTGATTCTCTCCCATCACATTTGCTGGCACTACTGCCTTTGGCGTTGTTTTCCCGCCCTCCCGTGCTGCTGCAGGGGGCTTCGTTCCAACAAACTCTCGGGCGCCATCCCTCCCTCCATTGCCTTGCTGGAAAATATCAATGCACTGTGGGTGCCGCACTGCCACTGCCAGTCCGTCACTGCTGCCGCTGTGCCTCTCTACCATTGCTGCTACTCCACCCTCCACACCCAGCCAGCCCGATGCTCTGTTCAATCTCACCAGCTTCAACTAACATTTTTGATTGATTTTGAATTTCACTGTTACTTTCTTACTCTCTGCTCTCCATAATCCAATCTACTGTCTCTGTTGTTCCCCCAGCGACCTGAGCTCCAACCAACTGTCTGGTCCCATCCCCAAGGAGATTGGTTCCATGGTCGCCCTCACCAAACTGTCAGTCTCTCCCGCCCATCGCGCCTCGTTGCATCCTTTCCCTTGCCATCCCTGCCTGCCTTTCCTTGTTTATGCACATCCGATTCTTGTCCCATGCATCCTCGGAGTCTCACTCACTCGTTCTCGCCTCTCTTCCTCCACTTCCGTTCTTCTTCTGCCCTGCTCGCCTTCTCCCAGTGATCTTTCGGACAACCAGCTATCAGGCAACATCCCTGCAACCTTTGGAGCACTCATTCAAATGAAATTCCTGTGAGTTGCACACAATACCCTGTCCCGGCCGAGACTTAATTGTCTGAACCTGTGTCAAAGTGAAGGCAGTTAAGGGGCCATGGAAGGGTGGCGGCGAAAGGATTTTGTTGTCAGGAGGATTTAAGATTCAAAGGGCAGGTGATGCCAGGGCTAGGGCATTTTTAGTGTAGGATATGAAGAAGAAAAAGAACCCAAACAGAAAGCGAAAATGTGTGATATAGCCATGAAAAATGAGGAAACCAAGCGTTAATCAACCACAGCTCCAACCTTGTACACAGACGTCAAATAAAACACCCCAAGCATGTTGATTTTTTTCCCACTTTTGATCGCTCCCTGTTTGATCATTACTACTAGTCTTTCATCGTACCCTTTTCTCAGAATTCTCCCTCTCACCTGTTTTTCCTCTCAGCTGCTGTTATGCCTTCTATCTGATACTTCCATTCCACCCATTATCTATTGCAGGGACCTCTCAAACAACCAGCTTGAAGACGTCCCTTCCAATTTGGGTGCACTCAGCGTGATGACTTACATGTGAGCTACATGCATGCAGCTGGACTTGTGGCGGCGGCATTATGAACCGGACGCACAATTGGTACACACCAAGTATTGAGCTCGTATTCGTGTACCAATCGGGAGTCCCAGACATGCATCATTCAATTGGAGTCTCCTTTTTTGTCGTTCTTTTCGCTTCTCCCCTTCCCTATTTCACCATTCTTTTGTCCCCGGATTACCATCGCCAGTGCTTCCCAATTCCCGATCGGATGAACCCCCAACCACCAGGTCCCTCTCTTACAACAACCTCTCTGGACCCATCCCTGACACCATCGGCTCTCTCACCAGCCTTGCAAATCTGTACGCCACACTTTGTTTTTTCCTGATTCCCAAGGATAGAAACTGTTATTGGGGGTCCCTTTTCAATTATTCCCTCCCATCCCATTTTCTTGCACTATTCCCCTTGGCATTGTTTTGCCGCCCTCTCATGCTGCTGCAGAGGGCTTTGTTCCAACAAACTCTCGGGCGCCATCCCTACCTCCGTTGCCTTGCTGAAAAGCATCAATGCACTGTGAGTGCCGCACTGCCACTGCCAGTCCATCACTGCTGCTGCTGTGCCTCCCTACCACTGCTGCTACTCCACCCCCTCCACACCCAGCCAGCTCGATGCTCTTCTGAGACTCAACAGCTCCAACTTTCACTATTGGATCATTTTAAAAATCTGCGCTACTTTCTTACTCTTTGCTGTCCTTGATCCAATCCACTGTCTCTGCTGTCCCCCCAGCGACCTGAGCTCCAACCAACTGTCTGGTCCCATCCCCAAGGAGATTGGTTCCATGGTCGCCCTCTCCAAACTGTCTGTGACTTCCCTCCACCACTCCTCGTTGCATCCTTTCCCTTGCCATCCCCACCTGCCTTTCCTCGCTTATGCATGCCCGATTCTTGTCCCATGCGTTCTTGGAGTCTCACTCACTTGTGCTTGCAACACTTCCTCTCCCTCCGTTTTTCCTCTGCCCTGCACTCCTTTCTCCCAGTGATCTTTCGGACAACCAGCTTTCGGGCAACATCCCTGCAACATTTGGATCACTCATCCAAATGAAATTCCTGTGAGCTGCACACAGCACCCTCTCACAGCCGAGAATTGATTGTTCGAAGCTGTGTCAAAGTGAAGGCAGTTAGGAGCCATGGAAGGTTGGCTTGGCGGCAAAAAAAAAAATGTTGTCAAGTGGGATCAATCAAAGTGCAGGTGAGACCCCAACCAAAGGATAGGGCAAATTATGTATAGTATATGAACAGTAAATTTTTCACATGGAATTTGGGTGCAAAGATGACCACAAAGTGTGAATGGGCATCACAAACGATAAAGCGAGAATTTAGTGTAAATTGGCATCCAACTACAACATCCACCCAGTACACAGAGATCAAATCAAACATACCAAGATTTTTTTTTTTTGCACTTCTAATTTGTTGTTGGCTCTTTGCTTGTTCATTATCACTAGTCTTCCATATTTCCTTCTATGTTGCACTATACACGTATCTTGTTTTTCGTTTCACGTTTATGCGTTCATGTATAAACGCAAAAACGTGACACGGGGACAAATACGCGGTACGCCTGGACGGGCAGCCCGGCGAAAAAAAACATATGTTGCGACTATTCTCGCGATCTGTGATTCTCCGTAACTTAATTTTGACATTTGAAAGTCGAATGCCTTCCCCCGCACCCACCCCCCCCCCCCCCCCCCCCCCCCCCTTCCACCGCACATAACCTCACACCACCTCCCAAACCCAACCCTTCCCTTCCAACCACACTTTGGCTTTCATGTCGGCAGCTTCAAAAACCTATGTCGACCGCTAATTTTGCAGCTAGACGCAAGTAGGCAGAGGGGCGCAGATCTGGCAGTCCGCCTCCAGATCCGCGCGATTCTAATATTCCGCCAGCAGATCCGCGCGACTCTGGTATTCCGCCAGCAGATCGGCAAGAAACATTGAATATAGGGACCATCACTCACTCCCTGACACTTTTTTTCCCTGCCCGGAACTTTCTTCCCCTTCCCGAGACACCGTATTTTAAGCATATCGAGGGGGCGGAAATCCATCGTACGACGTTCGTACGTTGGCGTATAGTACGAACGCGACTGGTACGCTAGTCGCGTATATTGCAACATAGATTGCCTTTTGTCCAGATTTCTCCCTCTCACCTGTTACTCCTTCTCACTTGCTGCAATTTGCCCCGCGACGAACACGAACGTGTTCGAGGTTCGCCCGAACACGCCTTCACAGGCGAACGGCGAACACCTGTTTTTGCTTAAAGTGTTCGCCGAACCGAACAGTGTTCGGTTCGGCAAACGGCTGTGTTCGTGTAGGGGCGAACACGAACATGTTCGTGTTCGCCCCTTGCTCATCCCTAGGCCCGCCCATCAGAGATGATGAAGCGAGCTTTAACCAACTACAACACCCATCCAGTACATCTAATCAAACACAACATGCATTCTTTTTTTCCAGCATGCCATTAATTTCTTCTTCGCTCCTTGTTGTTTCTTCATTACTACTAGTCTTCCATCATTCATTTGCCCTAATTTCTCCTTCTCACGTGTTTCTCCTTCTCACCTACTGTTATGCCTTCAATCCACTTGATGCTTCCATTCCATCCATGATCTTTTGCAGGGACCTCTCAAACAATCAGCTTGAAGAAGTCCCTTCCACTTTGGGTGCACTCAGCATATTGTCTTACATGTGAGCTACATGCATGCAGCTGAAATTGTGGCCGCATTGTTAAACCAGAAACATCTTTGATACACACCAAACATTTAGCTCGTATTTGTGAATCAACTGTGAGTAGTTGCGGAAGACGCTCGAGTCCAGTACATGTATTATGCAATTAGAGTCGTTTATGTTTTTCTTTCTCTCGTTGTTGTTGCCTCTCCCTTTGCCTATTTCACATTCCGTTGCACCCCGACTCACCATCGCCTGTGCTTCTCAAATCCTGATCGGATGAACCCCCAACCACCAGGTCCCTCTCTTACAACAAGCTCTCTGGACCCATCCCTGACACCATCGGATCCCTCACTAGCCTAACAAATCTGTACGCCACACTTTGCTTTCTCTTGATGATGCCCATGGGTGAGATATTGTAACAAATTGCGGATCGGTCGGGTCAACCTAAATAATATGGACGGGATGTTGGTTTTTGCGAATTGTGATTACTGAATGGACGAAGTCATTTTATTGGTCAGCGCAAGGGACCTTTGTAGGATTGATCAACTTCGGCTGCGGGCTTTAACACTCCCATTGCTAGCACTACTCCCCTTGGCGTTGTTTTGCTGCCCTCCCATGCTGCTGCAGGGGCCTTCATTCCAACAAACTCTCGGGCGCCATCCCTCCCTCCATTGCCTTGCTGCAAAATATCAATGACCTGTGGGTGCCGCGCTGCCACTGCCAGTCCGTCACTGCTGCTGCTGTGCCTCTCTACCACTGCTGCTACTCCACCCTCCACACCCAGCCAGCAAGACGTTCTGTTTAGTCTTAACAGCTTCAACAATGATTTTCGCACCATTTTGGCTTCCACGGTTGCTTCCTTATTCTGTGCTGTTCATTCATCCAATCCACTGTCTCTGCTGTTCCTCCAGCGACCTGAGCTCCAACCAACTGTCTGGTCCCATCCCCAAGGAGATTGGTTCCATGGTCGCCCTCACCAAACTGTCAGTCACTCCCCTCCACTCCACCACACCCCGTTGCGTCCTTTCCCTTGCCATCCCTGCCTGCCTTTCCTCGTTCATGCACACCAGTTCTTGTCCCATGCGTCCTCTGAGTCTCACTCACTCGTGCTCGACCCACGTCTCCTCCTATTGTCCTTCCTCTGCCATGCACGCCTTTTTTTCCAGTGACCTTTCGGACAACCAGCTTTCAGGCAACATTCCCACAACATTTGGAGAACTAATGCAAATGGAATTCCTGTGAGCTGCACACAACACCCTGTCACAGCCGGAAATTTATTGTGCGAACCTGTGTCAAAGTGAAGGCAGGTAGGAGCCTTGGAAGGTTGGCTTGGTGGCGAATCTTTTTTTTTGTCAAGTGGGATTAAGATTCAAGCTGCTGGTGACTCTGTAACTAAAGGATAGGGCATGTTCAGTATAAGTTTGTAGGATATGAACAGGAAAATGAACCTGAACAAAAGTTGGGTCCATAGTCGGCTACTTTTGTAATAGGCCATCAGAAATGATAGCGCAAGCTTTAACCAGCTACAACACCCACCCAGTACATAGACATATAACTTGTTGCTCGTTGTTGTTTGTTCATTACTACTAGTCTTTTCGCCCTTATTTTTCCCTTTGACCTGTTTCTCCTTCTCACCTGCTCTTATGCCTTCAATTTGATGCTTCCCCATGATCTTTTGCAGGGACCTCTCAAACAACCAGCTTGAAGACCTCCCTTCCATTTTGGGTGCACTCAGCGTGATGACTTACCTGTGAGCTACATGCACGCAGCTTTAATTGAAGCCGCATTATTGAACCGCGCGCACCATTGAATCACACCTAGCATTTACCTTGTATTCGTGTTCCTAATGTGCATGGATCAGAAATTATAGATGGGGACCACTTAGCACTGATCCTTTCCCATCCCATTTACTCTCACTACTCCCCTTGGTGTTGTTTTGCCGCCCTCCCATGCTGCTGCAGGGGGCTTCGTTCCAACAAACTCTCTGGCGCCATCCCTCCCTCCATTGCCTCGCTGCAATATATCAATGACCTGTGGGTGCCGCGCTGCCTCTGCCAGTGTGTCACTGCTGCTGCTGTGCCTCCCTACCACTGCTGCTATTCCACCTTCCACATCCAGCCAGCCTAGGGATGAGCAAGAGGCGAACACGAACGTGTTCACGTTCGCCCCTGCACGATGTTCGGTTCGCCGAACGACTTCCCCAAAAAAGGGTGTTCGCCGTTCTGCAGCAGCGCCACGAACACGAACGTGAAGGCGTGTTCGGGCGAACCTCGAACACGTTCTGCAGCAGCCCCGTTCTGTGAAGGCGTGTTCGGGTGAACCTCGAACACGTTCGGGCGAAGAATTTAAGCTAAAAATCAAAACCTGTTCGGTTCGCCTCGAATGTTCGTTTCTTTGCTCATCCCTAAGCCAGCCTGATGCTCTGTTCAATCTCACCAGCTTCAACTCTCATTTTGAATCATTTTGAATCTCACTGTTAATTTCTTACTCTCTGCTGTCCATAATCCAATCTACTGTCTCTGTTGTCCCCCCAGCGACCTGAGCTCCAACCAACTGTCTGGTCCCATCCCCAAGGAGATTGGTTCCATGGTCGCCCTCACCAAACTGTCAGTGACTTCCCTCCACCACACCTGGTCGCAACCTTTCTCTTGCCATCCCTGCCTGCCTTTCCTCGTTTATGCATACCCAATTCTTGTCCCAAGCATCTTCCGAGCCTCAATTCCTCTCCTTCCGTTCTTCCTCTGCCCTGCTCGCCTCTCCCAGTGATCTTTCTGACAACCAGCTTTCGGGCAACATCCCTGCAGCCTTTGGAGCTCTCATCAAGATGGAATTCCTGTGAGCTGCATTGCACACACCATCCTGTCACAGGCGAGAATCGATTGTGCGAACCTGTGTCAAAGTGAAGGCAGTTTGGAGCCATGGAAGGTTGGCCGCGAAAGAAGATTGTTGTCAAGCGGGACTTGGATTCAAAGTGCTGGTGATACCCTAACCAAAGGCAAGAGAATGTTCAGTATAGGATATAAACCAAGATAACGAGCCCAAATGATAAAGTGAGCGTTAACACCCACCCAGAAAACACACATCAAATAAAAAAACACACAGAATACACATATATATGTAGTATGTTTTTATATATCCCACTTCCCACTTCTTGTTTGCTTCTTGTTCTTTGTTCATTACTACTACTCTTCCATCGTGCTTTTTAGCCCTGATACCTGTTTCTCCTACTCACCTTCTGTTATGGCTTCAATCTGATGTGTCCATTTCACCCATTGTCTTTTGCAGGGACCTCTCAAACAACCAGCTTGAAGACGTCCCTTCCATTTTGGGTGCACTCAGCATGATGACTTACTTGTGAGCTACATGCATGCAGCTGGAAATGTAGCGGCGTTATTGAACCGGAGGCACCATTGATACACACAAAGCCTTTAGCCTGAATCATGTATCAACTGTGAGTTCCATACATGTGACAGTCGATTTTATTCTCCATTTTTTTAGTTCTCGCTTCTCCCCTCGCCTATGTCTCCATCCTTTTGCCTCCGACTCACCATTGCCATTGCTTTCCAATGCCCGATCCAATGAACCCCCAACCACCAGGTCCCTCTCTTACAACAAGCTCTCTGGACCCATCCCTGACACCATCGGCTCCCTCACCAGCCTTGCAAATTTGTATGGCACACTTTGTTTTTTCCTGATGCCCATGGATCAGAAATTTTAATTGGGGACCGCTTAATACTGATTCTCTCCCATCACATTTGCTGGCACTACTGCCTTTGGCGTTGTTTTCCCGCCCTCCCGTGCTGCTGCAGGGGGCTTCGTTCCAACAAACTCTCGGGCGCCATCCCTCCCTCCATTGCCTTGCTGGAAAATATCAATGCACTGTGGGTGCCGCACTGCCACTGCCAGTCCGTCACTGCTGCCGCTGTGCCTCTCTACCATTGCTGCTACTCCACCCTCCACACCCAGCCAGCCCGATGCTCTGTTCAATCTCACCAGCTTCAACTAACATTTTTGATTGATTTTGATTTTCACTGTTACTTTCTTACTCTCTGCTGTCCATAATCCAATCTACTGTCTCTGTTGTTCCCCCAGCGACCTGAGCTCCAACCAACTGTCTGGTCCCATCCCCAAGGAGATTGGTTCCATGGTCGCCCTCACCAAACTGTCAGTCTCTCCCGCCCATCGCGCCTCGTTGCATTCTTTCCCTTGCCATCCCTGCCTGCCTTTCCTTGTTTATGCACATCCGATTCTTGTCCCATGCATCCTCGGAGTCTCACTCACTCGTGCTCGCCTCACTTCCTCCACTTCCGTTCTTCGTCTGCCCCGCTTGCCTTCTCCCAGTGATCTTTCGGACAACCAGCTATCAGGCAACATCCCTGCAACCTTTGGAGCACTCATTCAAATGAAATTCCTGTGAGTTGCACACAACACCCTGTCCCGGCCGAGACTTAATTGTCTGAACCTGTGTCAAAGTGAAGGCAGTTAAGGAGCCATGGAAGGGTGGCGGCGAAAGGAGTTTGTTGTCAGGAGGAATTAAGATTTAAAGGGCAGGTGATGCCAGTTCTAGGGCATTTTTAGTGTAGAATATGAAGAAGAAAAAGAACCCAAACAGAAAGCGAAAAAATGTGATATAGCCATAAAAAATGATGAAACCAAGCGTTCATCAAACAAAACACCCTAAGAATCCTTTTTTTTCCCCACTTTTGATCGCTCCCTGTTTGATAATAATTACTACTAGTCTTCCATCGTACCTTCTTCTCAGAATTCTCCCTCTCACCTGTTATGCCTTCTACCTGATGCTTCCATTCCACCCATTATCTATTGCAGGGACCTCTCAAACAACCAGCTTGAAGACGTCTCTTCCATTTTGGGTGCACTCAGCATGATGACTTACATGTGAGCTACATGCATGCAGCTGGACTTGTGGCGGCGGCATTATGAACCAGGCGCACAATTGATACACACCAAGTATTGAGCTCGTATTCGTGTACCAATCGGGAGTCCCAGACATGCATCATTCAATTGGAGTTTCCTTTTTTGTCGTTCTTTTCGCTTCTCCCCTTCCCTATTTCACCACTCTTTTGTCCCCGGATTACCATCGCCAGTGCTTCCCAATTCCCGATCGGATGAACCCCCAACCACCAGGTCCCTCTCTTACAACAAGCTCTCTGGACCCATCTCTGACACCATCGGCTCCCTCACCAGCCTTGCAAATCTGTACGCCACAGTTTGTTTTTTTCCTGATTCCTAAGGTCAGAAACTGTAATTGGGGGCCCGTTGACAATTATTCCCTCCCATCCCATTTTCATACACTACTCCCCTTGGCATTGTTTTTCCGCCCTCTCATGCTGCTGCAGAGGGCTTCGTTCCAACAAACTCTCGGGCGCCATCCCTCTCTCTGTTGCCTTGCTGAAAAACATCAATGCACTGTGAGTGCCGCACTGCCACTGCCAGTCCATCATTGCTGCTGCTGTGCCTCTCTACCACTGCTGCTACTCCACCCTCCATACCCAGCCAGCCCGATGCTGTGCTGAAACTCAACAGCTTCGAATTTCACTTTTGAGTCATTTTGAAATTTCCACTGTCCGCTGTCCGTGATCCAATCCACTGTCTCTGCTGTTCCCCCAGCGACCTGAGCTCCAACCAACTGTCTGGTCCCATTCCCAAGGAGATTGGTTCCATGGTCGCCCTCTCCAAACTGTCAGTGACTTCCCTCCACCACTCCTCGTTGCATCCATTCCCTTGCCATCCCCACCTGCCTTTCCTTGCTTATGCACGCCCGATTCTTGTCCCATGCATTGTTGGAGTCTCTCTCACTTGTGCTCGCAACAATTCCTCTCCTTCCGTTTCTCCCAGTGATCTTTCGGACAACCAGCTTTCGGGCAACATCCCTGCAACATTTGGATCGCTCATCCGAATGAAATTCCTGTGAGCTGCACACAACACCCTCTCACAGCCGAGAATTGACTGTTCGAAGCTGTGTCAAAGTGAAGGCAGTTAGGAGCCATGGAAGGTTGGCTTGGAGGCAAAAAAAACCCTAAGTTAAATTCAAAGTGTAGGTGAGACCCCAACCAAAGGATAGGGCAAATTACGTATAGTTTATGAACATGAAATTTATCCCACATGGAATTTGGGTGCAAAGATGACCACAAATTGTAAATGTTCATCACAAACGATAAAGCGAGAATTTAGTGTAAATGGGCATTCAACTACAACATCCACCCAGTACACAGAGATCAAATCAAACACACCAAGAATTCTTATTTTTGCACTTTTTATTTGTTGTTGGCTCTTTGTTTATTCATTATCACTAGTCTTCCATATTACCTTTTTTCCAGATTTCTCCCTCTCACCTGTTTCTCCTTCTCACTTGCTGTTATGCCTTCAATCTGATGCTTCCATTCCACTCATGATCTTTTGCAGGGACCTCTCAAACAACCAGCTTGAAGACGTCCCTTCCACTTTGGGTGCACTCAGCATGATGTCTCACATGTGAGCTAAATGCATGCAGCTGCTTTATTGAACCGGACGCACCATTGATACACACCAACCATTTAGTTTGTATTTGTGTACCAACTGTGAGTCCCAGACATGTAACATTCGATCGGAGTCTTTATTTCTATCGTTCTTCTTGCTTCTCCCCTCGCCTATTTTACCATTCTTTTGCCTCGGACTCACCATCGCCAGTGCTTCCCAATGCCCGATCGGATGAACCCCCAACCACCAGGTCCCTCTCTCACAACAAGCTCTCTGGACCCATCCCTGACACCATTGGCTCCCTCACCAGCCTTACAAATCTGTAGGCCACACATATTTGCGTGGTTGATTGGCATTACCGTCCAGTTAGGTTTTTCTGCTGGAGCAGTTGCTGCAAGCCCTCCCATCCCATTTGCTGGCACTTCTCCCCTTGGCGTTGTTTTGCCGCCCTCACATGCTGCTGCAGGGGCCTTCATTCCAACAAACTCTCGGGTGCCATCCCTCCGTCCATTGCCTTGCTGAAAAATATCAACTCACTGTGGGTGCCACGCTGCCACTGCCAGTCCGTCTCTGCTGCTGCTGTGCCTCGCCACCACTGCTACTACTTCATGCTCCACACCCACCCAGCCAGATGCTAGACTCTGTTTAAACTCAGCAGCTTAAACTTCCATTTCTGTGTTATTTTGATTTTCACTGTTTCTTTCTTACTCTCTGCTGTCCATTATCCAATCCACTGTCTCTTCTGTTCCCCCAGCGACCTGAGCTCCAACCAACTGTCTGGTCCCATTCCCAAAGAGATTGGTTCCATGGTCGCCCTCACCAAACTGTCAGTCACCCCCGTCCACCACACCTCGTTGCATCCTTTCTCTTGCAATCCTTGCCTACCTTTCCTCGTTTATGCACACCCAGTTCTTTTCCCATGCATCCTCGGAGTCTCACGCACTCGTGCTCGCCTCACTTCCTCTCCTTCCGTTCTTCCTCTGCCCTGCACGCCTTTTTCCCAGAAATATCTCGGACAACCAGCTTTCGGGCAACATCCCTGCAACCTTGGGAGGACTCATCCAAATGGAAATCCTGTGAGCTGCACACAACACCCTGTCACAGCTCATAATTTATTGTGCGAACCTGTGTCAAAGTGAAGTCAGTTAGGATCCATGGAAGGTTTGCATTGGCACCGAATGAAGTTTGTTGTCAAGTGGGATTATGATTCAAACAGCAGGACTCGAACAGTTTTTCTAAAACGTATTGTTCAACTCGAACCGAACAGGGGCTCGACACTTTGCTCATGTCTACATCAGATCAAGCACACCAGGAGTTATATTTTTTTTCTCCCACTCACCTACCAGTCCTTGTTCTCTCGTTGTTGTTTCTTCATTACGACTAGTCTTCCATATTGCATTTTGTCCAGATTTCTCCCTCACCTGTTTCTCCTTCTCGCTTGCTGTTATGCCTTCAATCTGATACTTCCATTCCATCCATGAATTTTTGCAGGGACCTCTCAAACAATCAGCTTGAAGACGTCCCTTCCACTTTGGGTGCACTCAGCGTGATGTCTCACATGTGAGCTAAATGCATACAGATAGAACTGTAGCAGCATTGATACACGCCATGCATTTGGCATATATTTGTGTACCTAGCGTGACCCCTATACATGTACCACGATTGGAGTCTCCATTTTGATCATTCTTCTCGCTTCCCCCCTCGCCAATTTGACCACCCTTTTGCCTCCGACTCACCATCGCCAGTGCCTCCTAATTTGGGATGAGCAAGGGGCGAACACGAACATGTTTGTGTTCGCCCCTACACGAACACAGCCGTTTGCCGAACCGAACACTGTTCGGTTTGCGAACACTTTAAGCAAAAACAGGTGTTCGCCGTTCGCCTGTGAAGGCGTGTTCGTCGCGGGGCAAATTGCAGCAGCGGCCCGAACACGAACGTGTTCGGGCGAACCTCAAACACTGTTTGGCGAACACTTTAAGCAAAAAAAACAAACCTGTTCGGTTTTTTGCTCAACCCTACTCCCAATGCCCGATCGGATGAACCCCCAACTACCAGGTCCCTCTCTTACAACAAGCTCTCTGGACCCATCCCTGACACCATCGGCTCCCTCACCAGCCTTACAAATCTGTACGTGACACTTTGCTTTTTCCTCATGACCATCTACTCAAACTTCTAATGGAATCCCACTGTACACTGATTCCCTCCCATCCCATTTACTGGCACCACTCCCCTTGGCATTGTTTTACCGCCCTCTCATGCTGCTTCAGGGGCCTTCAATCCAACAAACTCTCGGGCGCCATCCCTCCCTCCATTGCCCTGCTGAAAAATATCAATGCACTGTGGGTGCCACGCTGCCACTGCCAGTCCGTCACCACTGCTGCTACTCCACCCTCCACACACAGCCAGCCCAATGCTTTGTTTAATCTCGGCAGCTTCATCTTTCATTTTTTATTCATTTCAACTTTCAACTCTCTGCTGTCCATGATTCAAACCCTCAGCGACCTGAGCTCCAACCAACTGTCTGGTCCCATCCCCAAGGAGATTGGTTCCATGGTCGGCCTCACCAACCTGTCAGTGACTCACCTCCACCGCACCTCGTGACATCCTTTCCCTTGCCTTCCCTGGCTGCCGTTCCTCATTCATGCACACCTGATTCTTCTTCCATGCATTCTCAAAGTCTCACTTACTCGTGCTCGCCCCACCCACCTCCTCTCCTTCTGTTCTTTCTCTGATCTGCATGCGTTTCTCCCAGTGATCTTTCGGACAACCAGCTTTCGGTCAACATCCCTGCAACCTTGGGAGCACTCATCCAAATGGAATTCATGTGAGCTGCACACAGCACCCTGTCACAGCACATATTTGATTGTGCGCAGGGTTGGAAAAAACGACCGTACTTTTGGAAATTTACTGTAAAAACAGTACCGCAGAAAACGACCGTAAAAAACGGTTCAAAACGGTTCCAGGAGGTGTTTTCGTTTGAAGAAGAAAACGGTTTATTTGTGGGACCAAATTCATGGCGAAAGGTACCAGGATAAAGAGGACGAACCCCTCCTTGCATGTGTGCGCTTGTGGGCACGAGTAAAAATGTATTCGAGCTTGTTTTTCCCTCTTTTTTCTTAGTGACAAAGGTTCTCTAACAAAAAAACATCAGTTTTTTTTTTTAAGTTACAGTGAAGAACGAACATTATTTTACGAAAACCATATTTTCTAGCCTTGATTGTGCGAACCATATGCGAAGACGTTTGTTGTCTGATGGAATAAAGTTTTGAAGTGCAGGTGTTTCCATAACCCAAGGCTAAAGCATGTTCAGTATCAGGTTGGAGGATATGAAGAAAATGAACCCGAACAAAAGTTGGGTCCAAAGATGGCAAAATTTTGAAATAGGCCCGCCCATCACAGATGATGAAGCGAGCTTTAACCAACTACAACAACCATCCAGTACATCTAATCAAACACAGTATGCATTCTTTTTTTCTTCGCTACTTGTTGATTTTTCATTACTGCTAGTCTTGCATCGTGCGTTTGCCCTGATTTCTCCCTCTCACGTGTTTCTCTTTCTTACCTGCTGTTCTGCCTTCAATCTGATGCTTCCATTCCACCCATGATCTTTTGCAGGGACCTCTCAAAGAACCAGCTTGAGGACGTCCCTTCCACTTTTGGTTCACTCAGCGTGATTTCTCACTTGTGAGCTACATTCGTGCAGGGTGAAATTGTAGCAATATTGTTAAACCGGAAGCACCATTGATATACACCAAACGTTTAGCATGTATTTGTGTACCAACTGTGGGTCTAGTACATGTATCGTAATTAGGGTTTCTTTATTTTTCTCGTTGTTCTTGCTTCTCCCCTTGCCTAACTCAAGATCCGTTGCAACCCGACTCACCATCGCCTGTGCTTCCCAATGCCCGATCAAATTAACCCCCAACCACCAGGTCTCTCTCTTACAACAAGCTCTCTGGACCCATCCCCAACACCATCGGCTCCCTCACCAGCCTTACAAATTTGTACGCCGCGCTTTGCTTTCTGCTGATGCCCATGGTTGACAAATTGTAATTGCGGATCACTGAAAGCCCCCGGACCTAATTGCGGATTGCTCGGGTGAACTTTTTTTTTTCTTGACGAGTTGGTGTTTTGTGAGTGTTATTTTTGGCGAATTGTGGTTACTCAATGGACGAAGGCGTGTGATTGGCCACTGCAAGGGTTGCTTTGATTGCCAAACGAGAGTAGCGGGAAACTTCAAGATACACATCTGTGTGCAATATGGGACTCTGCAGCCAAACACGAGGTGCCCCTTGGGGTTTGCTGAGACAGCAAGAAGCTGGGTGAAACCAAGAAGCTCACCCTCCCAACTGTCAGTCTTTGTAGGGTTGAACAACTTGGCACTACTCCCCTTGGTGTTGTTTTGCCGCCCTCCCATGCTGCTGCAGGGGCCTTCATTCCAACAAACTCTCGGGCGCCATCCCTCCCTCCATTGCCTTGCTGCAAAATATCAACGATCTGTGAGTGCTATGCTGCCACTGCCAGTCCGTCACTGCTGCTGCTGCTGCTGCTCTCTACCACTGCTGCTGCTCCACCCCCCACAGTCAGCCAGATAGACACTCTGTTAAGTCTTAACAGCTTCGAAGTTGATTTTTGTACCTTTTTTTTTTTTCCACCGCTGCTTCCTTATTTTGTGCTGTCCATTCAACCAATCCACTGTCTCTGCTGTTCCTCCAGCGACCTGAGCTCCAACCAACTGTCTGGTCCCATCCCCAAGGAGATTGGTTCCATGGTCGCCCTCACCAAACTGTCAGTCACTCCGCTCCACCACACCACGTTGCATCCTTTCCCTTGCCATCCCTGCCTGCCTTTCCTCCTTCATGCACACCAGTTCTTGTCCCATGCGTCCTCTGAGTCTCACTCACTCGTGCTCGCCCCACGTCTCCTCCTTCCCGTCCTTCCTCTGCCCTGCACGCCTTTTTTCCAGTGACCTTTCGGACAACCAGCTTTCGGGCAAGATTCCCACAACATTTGGAGAACTAATGCAAATGGAATTCCTGTGAGCTGCACACAACACCCTGTCACCGCCGGAAATTGATTGTGTGAACCTGTGTCAAAGTGAAGGCAGGTAGGAGCCATGACTTGGAGGCGTAGAAAAATTTTCGTCAAGTGGGATATAGATTCAACTGCTGGTGATTCCGTAAGTAAAGGATGGGGCATGTTCAGAATAGGTTTGTAGGATAAGAACAAGAAAATGAACCCGAACAGGGTCCATAGGTGGCTACTTTTGTGATAGGCCATCAGAAATGATAGCGCGAGCTTTAACCAACTACAACACCAACCCAGTACACAGACATAAAATCAGCCCTTGTTGTTCGTTGTTTTTTGTTCATTACTACTAGTCTTTCATTATGCTTTTCGCCCTTATTTCTCCCTATGACCTGTGTCTCTCTCTCACCCGCTGTTGTGCCTTCAATTTGATCCTTCCATTTCCACCCATGATCTTTTGCAGGGACCTCTCAAACAACCAGCTTGAAGACGTCCCTTCCATTTTGGGTGCACTCAGCGTGATGACTTACTTGTGAGCTACATGCACCCAGCTTTAATTGTAGCTGTATTATTGAACCGGGCGCACCATTGAATTGCACCTAGCTTGTACTCGTGTTTCTGATCTGCATGGATCAGAAATCTAATTAGGGACCACTTAGCACTACTCTCCTTTGTGTTGTTTTGCCGTCCTCCCATGCTGCTGCAGGGGGCTTCGTTCCAACAAGCTCTCGGGTGCCATCCCTCCCTCCATTGCCTTGCTGCAATATATCAATGACCTGTGGGTGCCACGCTGCCTCTGCCAGTCCGTCACTGCTGCTGCTGTGCCTCTCTACCACTGCTGCTTCTCCACCTTCCACATCCAGCCAGCCCGATGCTCTGTTCAATCTCACCAGCTTCAACTTTCATTTTTTATCATTTTGAATCTCACTGTTACCTTTTTACTCTCTGCTGTCTGTGATCCAATCTACTGTCTCTGTTGTTCCCCCAGCGACCTGAGCTCCAACCAACTGTCTGGTCCCATCCCCAAGGAGATTGGTTCCATGGTCGCTCTCACCAAACTGTCAGTCACTTCCCTCCACCACACCTGGTCGCATACTTTCTCTTGCCATCCCTGAATGCCTTTCCTTGTTTTTGCACACCCAATTCTTGACCCATGCATCTTCCGAGCCTCACTTCCTCTCCTTCCGTGCTTCCTCTGCCCTGCACGTCTCTCCCAGTGATCTTTCGGACAACCAGCTTTCGGGCAACATCCCTGCAGCCTTTGGAGCACTCATCAAAATGGAATTCCTGTGAGCTGCACTGCACACATCATCCTGTCACAGGCGAGAATTGATTGTGCGATCCTGTGTCAGACTGAAGGCAGTTTGGAGCCATGGAAGGTTGGCCGCGAAAGAAGATTGTTGTCAAGCGGGATTTGCATTCAAAGTGCTGCTGATACCCTAACCAAAGGCAAGGGAATGTTCGGTATAGGATATGAAACAAGATAACAAACCCAAATGATAGAGCGAGCGATAACTAAAACACCCACCCAGTAAACACACATCAAATCAAACACACAATGAATATATATTAGTTTCCCACTTCCCATTTTTTGTTCGCTTCTTGTTCTTTGTTCATTACTACTACTCTTCCATCATGATTTATTGCCCTGGCACCTGTTTCTCCTTCCCACCTGCTGTTATGGCTTCAATCTGATGTGTCCATTCCATTCCACCCATGATCTTTTGCAGGGACCTCTCAAACAACCAGCTTGAAGACGTCCCTTCCACTTTGGGTGCACTCAGCGTGATGACTTACTTGTGAGCTACTTGCATGCAGCTGGAAATGTGGCGGCAATATTGAACCGGAGGCACCATTGATACACACGAAGCATTTAGCTTGAAGTATGTAAAAACTGTGAGTTCCATACATTTGACAGTCGATTTGATTTTCCATTTTTTTAGTCCTTCTCGCTTCTCCCCTCGCCTTTTTCTCCATCCTTTTGCCTCCGACTCACCATCACCAGTGCTTCCCAATGCCCAATCGGATGAACCCCCAACCACCAGGACCCTCTCTTACAACAATCTCTCAGGACTCATCCCTGACACCATCGGCTCTCTCACCAGCCTTACAAACCTGTACGCCATACTTTGTTTTTTCCTGATGTCCATGGATCAGAAATTATAATTGGGGACCACTTAATACTGATTCTCTCCCATCCCATGTACTGGCACTACTCCCCTTGGCATTGTTTTGTGGCCCTCCCATGCTGCTGCAGGGGGCTTCGTTCCAACAAACTCTCTGGCTCCATCCCTCCCTCCATTGCCTTGCTGCAAAATATCAATGCACTGTGGGTGCCGCACTGCCACTGCCAGTCGGTCACTGCTGCTGCTGTGCCTCTCTAGCACTGCTGCTCCTCCACCCTCCACACCTAGCCAGCCAATGCTCTGTTCAATCTCAGCAGCTTATGCTTTCAATTCTACATTTTTTTTTTTTTTTACTGTTACTTACTCTCTGCTGTCCATGATCCAATCTACTGTCTCTGTTGTTCCCCCAGCGACCTGAGCTCCAACCAACTGTCTGGTCCCATCCCCAAGGAGATTGGTTCCATGGTCGCCCTCACCAAACTGTCAGTCTCTCCCCCCGTCGCGCCTCGTTGCCTTTGCCCACTTGTCGTTTGTCTCCTTGCCATCCCTGCCTTTCCTCGTTTATGCACTCCCTATTCTTGTCCATGCATTCTCCAAGCCTCACTCGCTCATGCTTGCCTCACTTCCGTTCTTAATCTGCAATGCACGCCTTTCTCCCAGTGATATTTCGGAGAACCATCTTTCCGGCAACATCCCTGCAACCTTCGATGGACTCAATCAAATGGAATTCCTGTGAGCCGGAATGTGACCCTTGATTGTGGAACCATGCAGTTAATAATACTAACAAATGGAATTTGCGGTTTTATTAGAGTGTGTGAGGGTACACATATTACTGAGGAAGAGGGGCGGGCTGGTTAATCAGCAGTTTGGCCCCACCGAGCATGGGTTTTGCGACCTTTGAGGTTGGCATGAGCATGGATCAAATTCGACCGAACCGGATCGTCTGCAACTGTCTTGAACCAACCGGTCATCTTGCATGAATGCTCTATCTCGCATCTCCTTTCCTTCTCACCTTATCTTATGCCTGTGATTCTTCCATCCCCAATCCCTTCCAGAGATCTCTCAAACAACCAGCTTTCAGGCAGCATCCCTGCCAGATTGAGTGCGCTCAGCCAAGTGTCTTACGTGTGAGTGAGATACATGAGCTTAAGTGGTGTTGTAAAGGCACGTTGATATGATGTACACCCAGCTCTCCGCTTGATTTCATGTACCAACTGAAGCTCATACATATAACAAATGAATTTTCAGCATGCAGCAATACACAAAGATCCAATCTGCTCATCACAGTGTGTGAACCGCTTGAGAGAGGCATGTGGTGCCTGTGTTGTGTTGAGGTCAGATTTCTAGTAGTCTGTGGCAAATCACAAACCAGGGCTATCTTAATACCCGCTTTGGAAAAGCAGGCCCCACCTTGTCCCTCACCAATGTTGAACCTCCAGGTCATTGCAAACTGTGCTCATGCCCAGCATCAGCCCATTTCCCGATCCTCTTTATATCCCTAAACGCCTCGCCTCCTCTGCTAGCTACCTCTCTCAAACCACCGCTTCTGCCGCTCTCAATCTGCATCGCACCCCTTCAGTTCAGCCTTTGGCTTGTTTTTTGCCTTTTGCAATTATATTTCAGGATGTTAGCCAACAATCAGCTCACTGGCCCCATACCTTCTGACATTGGCTCACTCAAAAGAATGGTCGCTCTGTAAGACATCTCTTCCCTCACCCAATGCTCTCTCTCTCCTCAAATCCTTTTCTTCCCCTCCCACCAGACCATTTCCTGTAGGTGGCAACTCAGCTTTTCTAGTTTTGCCGTTTCTCCTCTCCTCTCCTCGCTTCTCCTCTCACCTATCTCGCCTTTCGGTGGCACCCCGAGAAACAATCGTGTGTGCTTTCTAATGCCCATTCGGATGAACCCCCAACCACCAGATCCCTCGAATACAACCAGCTCTCTGGACCCATCCCTGCCTCCATCGGCTCTCTCATTGGCCTTACAGAACTGTATGCCACATTTACCCAGTATTCCTTGTACCAGTGGATCGGAAACCCCAGATAACTACCTGTTCCCTATGCGACTATGCCTGTCGACATGAGCATGCCAGATAATTACCTGTTTCCCTATGCCTGTTCTCAAACTACTCAATAAAGTAGAGTATCGACAGGGGGAAAGGAGGGGGGAGGTGGGAACAAGAAAATGGCGAGCTTTTGGTTGAGTATCCAGGCAATCTGTCCGGGAAACGTCTCGTTCTCAAATCGCCTGGTCACTCAAGCTAGGCCAGTCTCTCCACTCTGAGTATTCCTTGCCTTGTCTCAAGCACTTGCTCATGTCTAGTACCAGTATACATTTATTTCCCCCTTCCATGCAGCTTATTCTTGTCATTGTTTTGCCACTCTCCCATGCTACTGCAGGGGCCTACATCACAACAACCTCTCGGGATCCATCCCTCCCTCCATTTCCTTGCTGGTCAATCTCGATACACTGTGGGTGCCATGCTGCCACTGCCAGTCTGCCACTGTTGCTGCTCTGCCTCTCGATTGCTGCTAAGACTCCGGGCACCACATTACCATACCCGAATTCATGTTAATCGTGAACAGATAGCTCTTACTTGTCCATTTCGCAGGCTTTTTAGACTTCAATATTACCTTCCTCCCACGTACACTTCTGTCTAACCTCCACCTCCCCTCCACCCTAATGCCCCTGCTGTTCCCCCAGCGATCTGAGCTCCAACCAACTGTCTGGTCCCATCCCCAAGGAGATTGGATCCATGACCGCCCTCACCAAACTGTCAGTCACCCTCCTCCACCGCACCTCGTTGCATCTTTTCCATTGCCTTCCCTACTCTTCATTTTCCATCCACACCCCTTTGTTCTCCGCTTCACTCTCCATCCCTCACTCGTGCGTCTTTCGGTCCTGAGGATGGGTTACACACTTATGCATCCTTCTGGCGCCAATCCACTCCCCTTCTGATCTTCTGTGTGCTTCTCCACAAGCTGACTCCCTTTTGTTCAGTAGTGGCTTGCTGTGCTATGCTGTGATGTGTGCCCTGGATGAGTGCATCATCAGCAATTAACAGTCCACTAGGCATTCTAAATCACTTGCATAATTGCACCTCTTTTTCTACTCGCTCCATGTTTCTTCATATTTTAGTGGCTCGCTATCATATGCCTGCTGCCCTTTTCTCCTGCACCGTCTCTTCATTCTCTTATGACGAGCCAGTTGTGTCTCTCTTTCTCACCTGTTTCTTACGCCTTAAATCTGGTGCTCCTCCTTCTCATTACTACTTACAGAGACCTTACAAGCAACCAGTTCACAGGCAGCATTCCTGTCTCCTCGAGTGCACTCAGCAAAGCCCCTGTCATGTGAGTGAGATGCACAACACACATGCACGTGGTGGTAGAAATACACAACGTCAAGCTGCATGCATGTTGTTTTGCGCACAAAGGGTAATCGGGTTAACATCTCAGCTGCACTGCATGTGCCAAATGAACCAGCTGCATATAGCAAGCGAAGCTGTAACACAGAGCACAGCACCCTACGGAGGTCATTTTTATTGGCTTAATGCTCGCATCACAACTTGTAAATCTGCACAGGATGAGTTAAAAACATCAGCCTTGTAACTGACTGGATAAGAAACTTCTGAAGACCTTCAATCGTCATACCCGTAACCCCCAAAACAGAACATATAGCCCTTCTAGGATCTGTGGGTGATCTTAGCAGCCCCATGAGCAACAGCATGTGTCATAGTCATGTTTTCAGATGCCAAGAGCCATGGCAACTTTGAAATTGGCTAGCTCGCCTTGCTTGAACCACCTTTTCTTCTGTGACTTTGAACTGCACTGAAATCCTTACCCTTTGGACTTGCCTCTCTCGCCTTTGCCATTCTATTTGTTTCAGGAGGATGTCAACCAACAAGAAGTTCACCCCACCCATACCTGCTGCTGGCATTGACTCTCTCACAGGATTGGTCGCTCTGTAAGACACCTCTTCCTCCACTCAATGCTCTCCCTCCTTTTTCTCCACCATTCCGTTCCTTCCGTTTTTCCTCCTCTTGCTTCTACCCTCACCTATCAGACCATCCATTCGCACCCAGAGTTACGACTCACCCTCAGCTGTGTTCCCATTGCCCACTTAAATAAAATCCACAACCACCAGGTCCCTCGGTCACAACAATATTTCGGGACCAATCCCCGAGTTCCTCACCTCCCTCACCAGCCTTACAAATCTGTAAGCCACACACTGTCTCTTCAAGAAGCCGATGTTTTGAAACTCTCAGTCCCATCTGGTGCACCTTACTGGCTGACACTGTTTCCCCTCCTTACATCTGACATTTCTCTCTGTTCTGTTACTTTGCTGCCCTGCCATGCTGCTGCAGGGGCCTTCAAAGCAACACATTCTCGGGATCCATCCCTCCCTCTATTGCCTTGCTGAGCGATATGGATACACTGTGGGTGCCGCGCTGCCACTGTCAATCTGCAATTGCAGTGGCTGCTGCTGCTGCTGCTGGCGTTGCCACTGCTGCTGCTCCTGCTGATGCTGCTGCTGCTTTCTTGCCTTTCCTCCTGTCACTTTTAATTATACCCACGATAAGTCACAGCTGCTTCATTTGCCAGTTCTAAAGCCTTTCAATTACTACCACGACCTCCTCAACTCTTCCCTTCCGTGTCCACTCTCCACCCCACCGTTGTGCTGTTCCCCCAGCGACCTGAGTGGAAATCAACTGTCCGGTTCAATTCCTGGCGAGATCGGTGACATGTCCGCCCTCACCAGACTGTAAGTGTTATGCTTCCTCGCCCACCCTTTCCATTCCTTCATTTCCCTTTCCCGGTTCATCGACAACCAAGCCAGTTATTGCTGTCGGATCACTCACTCGTGCTCGCCTCGCTTCCTTCCCTTGCATTCTTCCTCTGCCCGTCACGCCTTTCTCCCAGTGATCTCTCGGGCAACAAGCTTTCGGGCAACATCCCTGCAACTTTGGAAGGACTCAACCTATTGAAATCCCTGTCAGTTTTGTTCACATGCAGTGCTAAGAATGTATTTACATAGGTCACGACTTGGCTGCAAGTTTAGCACAAGCATAAGATACGTCTCAGAATGGCGATCTTGCAACGAGTAATGGACCGCTGTGTAATGGAACTCATATCATGTCATCCTGCTGAACTGAACCCCCACCTACCCTTGCTTTCTACAGCTATCTGCACTCCAACAAGCTGGCAGGAACCGTACCCTCCTTCCTAACGTATCTTACAGCACTCACAAGCTTGTAAGCTGCCTGCCTGCCTGCCTGTCTGCCTGCCTACCTGTCTGCCTGCCTGCCCTGTATGATATATACGTGCTCTTCTGTTCTCCATACGCTTCATCTCTTTAAGACACAGCTTATAATCATCATCCCTCCTGAGTATTCACAATAGAATCGCTCTAATGCTGATGCTTTCTGTCTTCCAAGTTGTATCAGCCCCTTAGCTTTCTTATTGAGCTCTAGCATATGAGCTCTGCAAGAAAGACTTAAGGCCTGCTTGTGTAGAGTCTACTGGTCTACATACTTAAGCCCGTTTAGGGATTCTGGGTGCTGCTTCTTGTGCTGAGGCTTTTAAGCTTTGCCTACCCATTCTGTGTCAGTTCCGGTTTAACCGTATCACATTTCCCTGCACATTGCACCTTACTATCCCCACCTCTCCTCAGGGCTATTGACAACAACCGCCTCACTGGACCAATTCCATCAAACATAAGCTCCCTCTCGGACCTGGCAGTCCTGTATGTCACGTGTGCTGTGCTGGTTTTTGAGAATTCTCAATTATCGCCCACTACAATCACTTCATTAACCTGATTCGATCCAACATAAGCTCCCTCTCGCCCTGGCAGTCCTGTGTGTCACCCTAGTATTACCGTTTTGTGGGCTTCACATGCCTTCTCTCATTCTCTCCTCACCTCAACCAACTCTCCTCCGCAACCCTTCCCATGCTTCACGTAACATCACCAAGACATTGCAAGAAATGAAGAAACGAAAACCTGATCTTACCGGCTTTCTTTTTCCTGTCTCCTCCATTGTTTTCTTCCTCTGATTCAGCTCATTGTCTCGCAACCAGCTCTCTGGACGAATCCCTGACTCCATCACCAATCTCACCAGCTTATCTGTCATGTAATGTTCAATAACCAACCTACATGCCGTGTGTCTCTCATCATTTCATCTGCTGTGTTGAAAATTGACTTCTCACATTAAACCCCCGTGATTTGCCTATTACCCGCTTGTCTCCTCCAGAAAAAAAAAAAAAAAAAAAAAAAAAACGTTTTGCCAGGTCATTCATTTATCTTCTTTTATCCCACTCGATCCTTTCACAACATCTGCAGTGACTTTCAGCGTAACCTCCTGGAAGGAACAATTCTTGAGACCATCGGGGGGCTTTCTCAGCTGGTCTATCTGTAAGCTGACCTGGGCCATGCAAGAATGGATCCACTACATCACCTCACCTCCCTCCAACTCACAAATTTCACACGCTATGCTACTGCTGCTCCTTTTTATTTGATGGGAATGCAAACTTCCCATTCTGCCCTCGTGAAGGAAGCACTCTATTGCTGACCATGATGACCTAGCCACAGTCCACACGCACATATTCCTTTCCCGTAGAATGCCATTGAGCTCCTTAAGATTTTTCTTCTCACCTCGCCCCTCTAGCTCCCTGCAAGTATTATCACCATGCCTGTCTGCTTGCTTCCACCACCACTAATGGCATCAGGTCGCTGCCCTTCAACCAGCTGTACAGCCGCATTCCTGGCAGCTTTTGAGTCGACTCAAAAGTCACCTCTTTTCAACATGCCTGTCTGCTTGCTTCCATCACCACACCGCCATTGACATCAGGTCTCTGGCCTCCAACCAGCTGTACGGCCGCATTCCTGGCAGCTTCACCAAGCTCACACAGCTCACCTTCCTGTAAGCCGCATTCCCCATTTTGAGGTGCCTTAGTAATCTTCTCTTCACCCAGCTCACAGCTCATACAGATCACTCACTTCACCTTCTTGTTAATGTGATCAGTTACAAATAGTTAGATCACCAAGTCTCCAATCTTCTCTCTTCCCCACTATCTATTTCCCTCTTCTTCCCCCAACAAGCCCCCACTTTTTAACGTGTTCTCTTTCCTTCCCCACCATCGCCCCACCTCCCCCACCACACAACCCCAATCCCCCCCCTCTTTTCCCATTCTTCTCACAGAGACCTCTCCCGCAACTCCCTCGCGGGCCCGATAGAATTGCCCGCTATCAGCACCATGCGTCTCTCCAACAACTTCCTCTCGGGCCCTCTGCCCGCCAGGGCATGCCAGGCTCGCAACTTCGATGCCAATTGCTTCACACTGCCGCCTGGGTGCTCCCTGGTAGTGCAGCGGGAGGAAGGAGCATGCAACGCCTTCTGCGGCACCTCCTCTGCTGCACCTTCGTCCTCCGCTGGTGCAAGGGCTGCTGCTGGTGGTGCACGTGGTGCTGCTGCGTCTACTACTGCTGCTTGCGGTGGTAACGGAATTTGCGTTCCCAACCGGGCCAGCACGATTCCGAGCTGTACTTGTGATGAGGGGTTCATCAAGCTTGCGAGCGATACCTGTGTTGCCAAAGGTAAGAGGAAGGGCCCCATCCTGAAAGAAGAGAACACGAAATTCTAGCAGAGGTAGATGAGCAGCGCAAGATAGTGCTTCCTGCAAGATGTTTTCAAAAAGCATTGCCCACAGCAGCACAGCACTATACGCCGCCCTTCCATTCCATCCTTGCCATTGTTTGCGCTGCCCTGTGGGTTACATCCTCCAAGCAACCTCGCGTCAACACTGATTGCTATTACCACAAACTATCATGTTCCTTTTCTCCCCTCCTGCATGACTCAAGGTGAAATCGGAAGCTCTACAGTCGCCCAACCCATTCTTCCCCAAGCAACCGCGCTTACCAAGGGGACACAGAAGGAGATCAAGGGCGCCTTCACTGCAGCTCCAGTGCCTCTGTTTCTGTACGAGGCAGGGGCGACAGCGACAGGGTGTGGAACACAGTTGGCCTTCAAGGCCAATTTCACCTTCTCCATGTCAACTGGAACTTTCAAAGGTGGCAACAACGGGCTTGCCTTTGTCGTCTCGGCAACAGACCGGGTGGGGACCGGGGCCGGTGTGGGGTATGATGGAATGGACGAGCGGAGCATAGCAATTGAATTCGATACTTTCCAGGACAAGCAACTTGGGGATATGATCACTCAGCACGTGGGGTTGGACACTAAAGGCCAGGAGACTTCGGTAGCTGCTGTGAAGTCGCCGTTTCCTCTGAACAGCAAGAAGGCATACACGGCATGGGTGGACTATGTCCCTGGGGAACCTGGCACCATCCAGGTGTTCCTGGCTGCTTCAGTTGTGAAGCCAGAGCAGCCGCTGTTAAAGAGGAGCCTGGCGCTGTGTGAGGTGCTGCAGGCTGGAGCAGATCAGCGGGCGTTCTTCTTTGGCTTTGTGGCGACCACCACTGAGAAGCCGTTCCAGATGCATGTGATTCTTAAATCTGCGGTGCAAACAGGTGAGGACAATGTGATGCTGCTTTTGCTGTTGTGTTTGTGATGACAATGGCGGCGGCGGCGGCAGCAGTGGTAGTGATGGTGGTGATGGTGATGATGTTGGTGGCAAGGATGATAATGGTCATGCGTTGCTGCTGCTACTTTCACACGAGTCTCAGCCTCTTGCTTCGGTTGCTGGTATAGCTGGTTATTTGATTAGTACTTTCAGATACAATTCCATGAAAGAGAGGGAGCACTTGAATGTGCTGAACTATGCTTTCAGTAGAGTCAAATCTGATCACCATCTGGCTGCCCTGTCTCTATCTGTGTCCCGCATGTGTGCCCCTTTGTACAGCTCTCCCTGATCTACAGAAACCAGGCGTTACTCCAGGTAAACAACCGAATTTCCCTCTGCATTCAATATAGTTAGTTATACTTCCCTCTGCATCCAATATAATTGGTTATACTTCCCTTTGCTGCCTTTATCTCACTCTTCCTACCTTCAAAGCAAGAGTAGACTGTACTCCTGCTCCCCATGTTCCTTTCAAATTGCTATCTGGTGCAAAAAGCACCACACCCAGACCAGACCTTTGCACACACCCACGTCCCTCATTCAACTCCGCCCTCTCTGCCCAAACCCACGTTCGCCTGCCCAGCCTTGGGCCTCACTCTCTCTGCAACGTCGTTTGCGCCACCGGGAGCCAGTCCCTTCATGCGCTACATGAGTGCGGACTACCAAGTGTCGCCCAACCAGCCCAATGGGTGGCGCATCAGCGCCTCCCGCTCCTGGGACTCCATGCCCTTCCTCGCCTGGCCTGTCAAGAACCAGAAGGACTGCAGTGAGTGGGCCTGGGGAGCAGAAGTGGGCAGAGATTCTGTGGCGTTCTCATTGGCTGTGGTGCTCATGCTGTGTGCTTTTGTGCCTGGATCAAGAGGATTCCGCTGGTGGATGGCTGGACCACCTTGTGTGTTTGTGATTTTAGGGCGATGTTGCTTGATTTTGAGCGCTTTATGCACCTTATGAAATGTGCCTTATCAATTCCGTGCGCCTTAATAAGCGCTTCCTTGAGTCTCTTCAACCTCTGTCGCGCACCTCCTTCTGACACGGTCCATTTCAGATGCAAGCTGGGCGTATGCAGTGGTGGCGAGTGTCGAAGCAGCATACGGCATTGCGCTGAACCAAAAGGTTCCACGGCTGACAGTGGACTCACTCTTCACCATCATGGGTCTCAAGACCCCTGCTGCCAAGTGCAGCACCGGGAACTCTCCTGCCGCGGCCTTCAAAAAGCTCATTGCTCTGCCCCGCGGTGGACTCGCCAGCAGCACAACGGTACGAATGGGATCCAGCTTGGTATTTCATGCTAGCTTTGCAACCAGTGCAGCCTAGCAGGGCAGGGCAGCCACCACCATCATGGTGTTTCAACCTTAAAAGGCTCATGTTAACATCCGATTTAAGAGACCAATGTAACCTGGCCAGGTCAGCATGGTACAGGAGCATTTTAACATGACCTTGTAGACACTTGCCCACCCATTCAGTCACATAGGGTCTCGTTGGTTAATCTTCCCAGTTAGGTCACCAATCTTGCATCCGAGCTTGCTCATGACAGGCAGAAATATTCATATCTTGCACCTCGTTCTTTTCTCTAGCCCTTCCCACCTTGCCCTCTTCTCCAGCCCTCTCTTAACTAGCTGTGGTGGTTTCATATATGCATCTCCCAATGCTTCCCACATGCTCGTGACCTCCAGATATTGAAGTACCCCGTTCAATCGTTTGAGCGGGCGCAGTTCAAGGGGTATGTGGGGCTCATGCTGGCAGTGAAGCGCCAGCCAGTGGTGGTTCAGATCGAGGCTTCTGTTTCCAGTTTCGCACAATATGACGGGGTACGTACTTGTGATTAATCATTCATGTGATGACGGTATGGTGTGTGAACATACTCGTTATCCAACTGTTCTTATAAGACCAACGCACAATTAGCCATTTACCGCTGTAGTTGACATTGCAAATGCCACATCGAGCCAATACACGCAGGGGCATGCCTCATGTCTCTATGTCTACCTTCCCTGTGGTTGTCATCTTTCTTCTTTTGTTTCGCTCAGACCTTCAAGTACCAGGATCCTGCCTGCTACACTGGCAACCTGAACCATGCTGTACTCGTTGTTGGGTACCTCATTTCAACAACTGGGGCCCAGCAAAGTTCGACTGCTCCGCCATTTTGGATCATCCGCAACTCATGGGGGACCGCTTGGGGCGACAAGGGACACATGCGCATGGACATTCAGGGAGGGGATGGCGTGTGTGGCATCAACGTGCTGCCTGGCCTCTACCCCATTGTCAAAAGTGAGCGATCTACCCCATTGTCAAGAGTGAGGCATCTAACTCATTGTGAAGAGTGAGGCATCAGCATCTGCGTTCCTTGTGTGTTTCAGTCCAGCGTCCATCGGATACTGGACTGAAATAGTATGTGTACGAATACTTGTGTGTTCACTTGTGTGTTCACTTGTGTGTTTCCATTGGCAATCAACAAAGAGCTCTCTCCCATGCTCTCATCCCACTGCTTTTCTTACACTACTTCCTTCCGCTACCCTCTATCCACCACCCTTCCAGTTGCCAACGATTCTTGCGGCCAAATGAGCTACAAGGGCGACGGGGACCTGCAGCCAAGCATGAACCCGTGCGGTCGCTTCCCGTGCCAGCCATACGCAAAGGCCAACAGCAACACGTGCAACTGCACCATTCCTGGCGAGGCCAGTCAGCCGTTCATTGAGGTCGCTAATGGAGTGGGCTCCAACACATGTGCATATGGTGAGTGCACCATTTTGTACGCCCATGTACGCCAAACGGGTATTGAGGACTCATTGGGGACCCGTATCGTTAAAAAAGAGGCTGCTCTTATCTTGCTGCTCTCGACAATATGCATGTACGGATGCATGCACCCTATCCATATATGGACCTGTAAGATACAAATGCGTTGAGGGAAGTTTTGTGGCTGTTCACTTCACCCCATCTATCATGAACATAACATACGTGTTTCCCTTTATCATCCACGTTCCACCACCCATGTCCTCCGCTCTGTCCTCCCAACAGTTAACATCTGCAGTTCTTACCCTACGAACCCTTGTGGTGCGGGCACATGCATCAACGATGGCAAGGGCTCCTACTCCTGCATCTGCCCTCCCAACTACATCAGCAGCACAACTGTCGAAAAGTTCCCCACCTGCGACCCAGGTGCTGCTACTTTGCATCATTCACGCATGCCTTCTGAGTCGAATCAATAGCCCACTCCCCCACCAGCGACCCAGGTGCTGCCATGTTGACCTCATTCACTCATGAAAGTATCTTAAGTGATTATAAGGATGCCCTTCTGTACAGTTTGACCTGTTATTTGTTAGCCCTCCTCCGTCCAGGCACACCTTGCCCACTCTGACGTATGCCAGATCAATAACCTAATTTGCGTTTCCTCTCTGCACTTGTTCTCCTTCTGTCCTCCCTGCAGCCAACACCACGGCCTCTACTTTGACAGTCACTGGCACCAACTGGCAGTGCTCTGATGTCTTCCCTACTGCTGGCGTCTCGCTGGCTGGCTTATCGCAGCAAAACACGGTGAGAGAGCCAAACAGTGGGCGTTGCGGGGGGGGAATGAGTTACGGGTTTGTGGGATGTGGAGACGGTAAGGGATGGGCTTGTTACGGGATGTAGAGCACAGATAAGTGAAGCTTTTCTTGCGATATAACAACGGCACCAGACGTTCATATCATACCCATCTCATCTCATCATCCCTTCATCTGATCATGCATGTGCTTTTGATGGCAGGCCATTGACTGTAGCGAGCCTTTGCTTCCGGGCAAAGAGACTTTTGAGTCAACTCAAATGCCTACTACTTCCAATCTGTTACTCATGTGCTCCTGATGGCAGGCCATTGACTGTAGCGAGCCTTTGCCTCCAGGCAAGGTGATTCAGCTTGGCAGCAATCCTACAGGCCCCTGCACTGCCTTCTTCTCAACCATCAATGTAAGGTTGAGATTTTCTTCCGGTTGGCAAGAGGACTCCCACCAAGGGGCTCGGGAAGCGGATTGTGGTGTAGTATTGCTTGTCCTTCTCTGTTCAAATACATGTATGGAAACAGACAGTCCCACTTCCCCATATCCCCCTCTTCACCCCCTCCCCCCCCCCTCTCTCCCTCTCCTCCTTCCTGCTTTCTTGCCTGTTTTAGGAAAATAATCGTGGTGTCTTGGTTCACAATGCATGGAAATTATACATGATGCATCTGGATTCCAGCTACTGTGTGTCTGCTGTTACCTTCAACTAACCATCCCTTGCTTACTCCCCCTTCTCTCAACCCTCCAGGGCGACAACTGTTCATCTATCGCCACTCAGATTAAACTAGCAGCAACTGAGCTTGCCGCTCTCAACCCCGGCCTGAACTGCTCTGAGCCCATCAAGCCAGGCCACTCTCTGTGCATCGAGCGCAATGCCACTTTGGCCTACACCATCCCACAGTGCTGGCAGTACGGCATGCTCACAGCACAGGACACGTGTGAGGGCCTGATGCTGCAGAGCATGCAGTCTGGCGAGGGTGGGTCCACGGGGGCAGGAGTTGTGACTGCAGACAGTTGGGTTGAGCTCTACCGCAACAATCCCGGCGTCATCTGCCCCCGCACCACCCCTCCCTCCACCGCCACCGTTGCCAGCAAGACAAGCGTGCAGGTGAGATTGGGGAAACCAGACCGTCCAGAGGGAATTGGATACGTATAGGTGTTTACTCTATGCAGTGTGTCATTCTTGAGATTTCTCACTTCTCCCTGCACTGCGTTTGCACCTTCTATTTCAGGTTTGCCTAAAGGCAGATTACGACCCCTTTAGTGATCACAGCTGCAAGAAGGGCAGGCTCAAGCTGGTGTCACCAAATCTGGCATGCCCAGGTGTTTTAAACTTCTATAATGGAGGAAAAACAGGAGGAAATGCTGGAACGGTTGCCAAGTTCTACGAGTACAATGGGAAGACATGCTCTGATACTGTAGGCTTGAGCACAATATGTGTGCCCTAGAGTAGTATCCAACCATGTTTCTTGATCACCTCGTGTCACAAGAGGCGAGATACAGTGCTGTGCAACTTTTTTACGGCTAGCGTACTAATGCTGTGCAGCGCTGTATAATGCCATTTGTGACGGGAGGTGATTATGATGCGACGGGTAGAGTGTATTGTAGCCTGGGTTTACCGCAGATTGCCATTCAGAGGTTTTCTAACAGTATTTGTAGGTCAGAAGCTTGCCTTGTTTACATTGCAGCATTTTTGCGTGTCTGCGTTTGTGTGCTGCATTATACACAGCATATACTGTGCATGATGTTGGAAACAACCAGTCTTAAGCGCCTCTGTCATGTCGAAACACCAAGACACAAGCGAAGCAAAGCATATCGAGGCACCAGCGAGTCAACCCTCGGAGGTTGAAGTAACTGCTGGAGGTTACGCGAAAGTCAAAGGTCAGCGACCTTTGACCTGACAAGTACAGCGCGACAGCAAGGACACACAACTGACTCGCTACAGAGCAGTTGCCCGAGTCGTCACTGTATCGAACCGCAACAGCAACAGTAAAACAGTTATAACTGTATCCTTTCATATTCCTTGTACTCTTATATAATCTTGTATCTCTTTGTTCTAATCAATCTACTTTGCCCTCACATACTAGCGCAAGGTGATTCACAATACTTTATTAAACGCTTCCGCTATTTCATCAGTACTACTCAGAGTTCATCCCTGCAAAGATCCTAAGGGCCTTTTCTCAGCCCAACATGGTATGAGAGCAGTCAGGGAGAATTCAACCTCTACTAAATTACCGACAACATCAACAGGCATAGCTACACAAAAGGAAAGGAGCCCCTCCAACGGCTCCCAGGGTACTACTCCTACTCCACCTCCTGCCTCTGGCCTACAGACAGAGGAGGGCACGGCAACAAGACCCAGGGCAACATCCACCGAGACTCCTGCGAATCAACCTGCAGACTTCGACCAGAGCATGATGGAGAAATTCTTCTCCTTCATGTCTTTCTATGAGCAACACCAGCAATCGGCACCTGCGCAGTCACACAACAGCAACAACAACGGGGCAACTCCCATGAGTCTCGACGGCTCATCATACGCACGAGGAAATCAACAGCAGCAGCCTACCTTTGCTCCGTACGAGCGCGGGTCCATGAGCTTTATGCCACACCCGCAGCCTTCACCTGGACAAGAAAGGTCACTGGACGCATTACAAGTTCAGTCGCAGTTCGCGCACGTTCTGAAGATGCAGACGTCAAAACCTTTCGATGGAAAGGATTTCTTCACCTGGTCGTTTGAATTCGAGTTAATGATGGAAGGCGCGCAGATACTTGGCTTCTTTGACGGGTCCCTTCCATACCCAACGAACGGCACACAGTATGAGAAGCAGCAGTACACCTATCAGTCGATGATGGCGTACACGATTCTACTGAGAAACATCACCCCGACTCAACAGCAGAATATACGGTCTTACCGGGGTTACGGCAACTCCGCGGAGCTCGCGTACAACCACTTGAAGAGCCTGTATCAAGCAACAGACAGCGTAAATCAAAGTCGGTTAATGGCGCAACTGACAACGGTCGAAATGAAACCAGGCGAGAAAGGAATGGCGTATATCAGCCGATGTCGCGAGTTGCGCGATAAGCTTCTTCGATGCGGAGGGTCGATTTCTGAAGACGCCTTCGTGACAGTCATCATTGGCGGCCTCGGTCCTCAATGGTGCGCTACAAAAGCCATTCTCCGAGCTCACGGAAGAATCTCCAAAGCAGCACTCTGCGCCGCAATCCATGCCGAGCAACAAGACATGGACCTGCAAGAAGAACGACACAAGAAGAAGACATCAGCACCGGAATTTGCTTTCCACACTCAGCGACGCTACAACAATAGCAAACAACAACAACCGAAGCCCGTACCTCCATTCTGCCACATCTGCAAGACGTCGGGGCACCCGCGCACGCACTGCCCGAATCGACAACAGTCAACGCCTTCACAGCGGCAGCTTCGACCTTCAAGCAATCAAGTTGCCTCAACACAAGCAAATCCTACGACCCAGATTAAAGCCTCAACGACTTCAACAGGACAACCTGCACAAGGAGCAAGAAACATCGTCAGTTGCATGGCAAAATTGACCGATTCCTGCATCACCGAGTCACCGCCACACTACTCACCGGAAGAACAACTCGACAACACCACACCTCGCCGCGAGTCACTTCAACCGAATCCAACGTACGCAGCCATCGCCCAGAGCGAGCCATCCGGGAAAGACACCTGGTTCTTGGACAGTTGCTGCGGACAACACATGTGCTCCTCAGAACGCTTCGTGCAGCAGGAATACCAACTCCAACGCGAAGTAGTCATCACCGTCGCCAACAACCAGAACCTGCGCACACGACGACAAGGAGTGGTCCAACTTCAGTCACGAGAAACAAACGTGATACTACAGATGTCAAAAGTTCTGATAGCAGAAGGACTTGGATATAACTTACTCAGCGTCAGCCAGCTGATGGCGAAGGGCATCCATCTCGAAGCAGACAGCACCACTCAAGAATTCAAGTTGTACCACGGGAGAGGAGGCCTTTACATCGGAAAGGCGGTCCTGAAAAATAATGTCTTCGTTCTTGATTTTGTTCCAGATCTCGGCACAGCAGACAGCGACGGCATTGTCACCTTCACTTCCTGGACCCACCCTCCAGACCTTGATCCCGACTTCAGTCCCGGCGGCTTCTGGTATTCTCACACCAACCCTGAGGCAGAAAGAACAAGGGCATTAGCAACAATTCAACACTCGGCAGCAGCAGAGACAACATCGGCAGCAGCAGAGACAACATCGGCAGCAGCAGAGACAACATCGGCAGCAGCAGAAAGAACATCGGCAGCAGCAGAGACAACATCAGCAGCAGCAGAAACCACATCGGCAGCAGCAGAGACATCAACGGCAGTAGCAGGAACGTCAACACCAATCGTTGGTCCTTCAACAGCACCGCTCCCCGTCGACGACACACCACCGACACCCGCGCAACAACTACACCCAGCACCACGAGAAGTTCATCGAAGCGCCAACTTCACCGCCAACTTCTACTCCAACTCCGACCTGTACCGACGATCACCCGGACACCGCACCGACGAAAGCACCTGGCACGCAAGGATGGGACACCCAAGCAACACAGTATTAAACAATACGATAAGAGCAGGAGTACTCGACAAGGACTCACTACTATTGACCGATGGAAGAGAACTTCAACGAGTACGTGGAACGTGTTTCACCTGCCCTGAAGCTGACTTACCGCATCGACCGTTCGCGTCTCACCATACCCCAAGCGCACCAGCTTACACACCACTCGAGAAGGTGTACAGCGACATCCTGTACAACCGCGAGCCGGGACAGAACGCGTACAATTACACTATCACGTTCATCGACGCCACGACACGTTACGTCTGGCACTTGAATCTTCCAAGCAAGGATATGGCGTTCGAAGCGTTCGTCGCCTGGCTCCCTGTAGCGGAAAGAGAATCGGGCGTCAAGCTAAAGAATTTTCAGTCAGACGGAGGAGGAGAATACACCTCACAAAGGTTCAAGCAGTACTTGGCTGAAAGGGGAATCAAGCGGCTCATCTCCCTTCCCTACGCCCATCAACAGCAAGGTGTAGCTAAGAGGATGAACAGGACTCTCCAGAACACCATGCGGAAACTGCTACGTGGCATGCGGCTACCCAACCACCAGTGGCCCGAAGCAATGGACCACGCCGTCATGCTGCACAACTTGCTCTCGTCATCATCGCTCCCGAACAACGCATCACCGCACCTGCAGTGGACAGGAAAACTGGGCAGCACAAAAATGTTAAGGGTCTTCGGCTGCATGGTACAGTACCTGCCCCCATCTGCACGAGCCGGCCGATTCTCTCAACGCGCACAGTGGGGACTACACCTGGGCATCGAAAAGCATTACAACGCATGGAAAATTTTCGACGTCGAGACAAAAGAAACAGTGGCAGCACGTGATGTCATTTTCTACGAAAGACTCACACTGCCGACGTACCTTGCCAACCTGGACGAAAACCGAGACCTCACAGGTGGCTTTCGTGGAGACCGAGCCTTCGCTTCGGCAGAAGACAAAGCTGACTGGGACGAGCAGAACGTGGAAGGAGCCTCGGAAGAAGCCGGACCCCTCCCCTACTGCTCCGTTGACGTGCCAATGGACGACGAAAACCCACGCGAAAGCATCAACGCCGAAACATACTACCACTTCGCTGACAACGGTTACGTTACACCTGCACAAGTCAACACCGACGAAGCAGAACGCGTAGGACCCAACTTCGTACCTGATCCTGAAGCGGGAGACGAAGCAGTTTATCCCGCGGACATGTCACTCCCCCGCTACACACAGAGTGGACTCCAGATACTCGGGCTCGTCACCGCAGTCCACGGTACGGCCATTCCTAAGGAGCCTGCCACAGTTCAGCAGGCTCTGGGGGGGGGAGCATAAGGAAAAATGGCGCGAAGCCATGGACAGGGAATTAAAGGCACTAGAGGAGCGCAACACTTGGAAAGTCGTTCCCATCAGTGTGGCGCGGAACAAAACGATTCTCACCGGAAAGTGGGTTTTCCGAGTGAAAACAAAGGCAGACGGTACCATCGACAAATTCAAAGCACGCTGGGTCGTACGTGGCTTCGACCAAGAACACGGACGCGACTTCACCGAGACATTCGCTCCGGTCAGC